CTTTATTTATCTCTCATAAAGAACAATGTTCACTTGAATGAGATGTAATACACAATTCAATTCAAACAACAATTCAGTACAGTAGCAACGAACCGTAGAACTCAAGAGCGGTTAATCCAAGTGCTCCCTACAATAATCCAATAGTTTCCTCCTAAAAATCACAAAAATTTTTTCATCAAACACTTCCTCAGGCAAGCCATTATATAGTTTCGCTCCCTCAAACTGTATACTTTTAATTCCATATTTGGTCCTGGTCTTTTAGTTATATAAATCAATCAATGATTATGATTACAAACATATTTGACAATGACGTCATCGATGGTTGTGACACCAGCTCTGCAGCCTCGACCACAATGACTACAAACCCAGCGCATTTTGGGAGGACGACTGCCTTTATGAAGACAAAACTTGTAACCATCTACCACCAACTGCTTATTTCCACGAGGTGACGTCACGAATATGGGAGTTTCTGGAATTTTCGCTAATATTAGATGTGGATTAGAGTAGACGACCAAAGAAGAGTAATTCCAATGAAACTTCAGTATATATAAACATGATATAATTGTTTCAATGTGTATGACAATTATTCATTTTGATGATGACGTTGTCTACTGTGTTTAGAGTCGCCTTGCAGCCGGTCCTCGTTTTTTTCGAGCAGACCCAGATACCCTTGGCTCCTTTACTTCTACAATATTTATTATAACGATATTTTCCAATTTCTATCACGGGATTCCCGAAACGCGATGTTGTAAAAATAGCTAAAAAACAGAATCAAATTTAATAGTTACTCTAATAAAAAATCATCACATAAAATTCCTACGAGTACATACATTCATTTATAACAACTGGACTATAATATTAAAATAATATATGTATATATATTTTTTTTATTTAATGTGTGTGGTAGTTATTCATTTTAATAATAATATCATCAACAGTAGTAACAGTAACGCGACATTGTTTGCTTTTCGACTTGCTACACAACCATAAACATTTTGGATTCGACCCCCTGCCTGTCCAGTTTTTATTGAAACGGTACTTTCCTATCAACAAAACGGGATTCCCGAAACGTGAAGTTGTAAAAACAGGTCCTGTAAATAAATTAATTCCAACTATCATACATGTCGAGGGCCCGAATATGCCCAATATTACAATAATAATAAACATAAGGAAAAAAATATAAACCACACTGTCATGTTTAACTATCGTAATATTAAATAATATCAAATAAAAAACACTATACTTACTGCACATATACATATGTATCTATAGAAACTCATTCCATTTTGAATGAAAAGCTGAATTAAAACTAACAACCCAATGAGAATATATTGTTAGGAGTTTAATGATATTTTCATGGTTAAGTTCGTTATTTCATTTCACTATGACGTAATCAACAGTGGTCAGGAAGACTGTACAACCGGTCTACATCTTGCACAGCCATTTCCCATTACAACTCCAGTACTTATTATATCAAAATCCCCCCAAAGAATCACTGCCTCCCCATATCTTGATGTGGTGAACAACGGTTATACAAATTGAAAATGCTATAGTTTTCTAAGCAAAACAGTCTATATTCTTTATCACAATATTTCCTACTACATATATTTGTGGTTAAACAAAATAATATATCAAACGTGATATAGATGTTTATTTAATGCACATGTTCATAGTTTCTTTGTATAACAACATTATTGAATGTTACAATGGTAGCTTTGCAGCCTGTGCTGGATCTCTTGGTACATCTCCATAGAGTCCTCGGTCCTCTGTTCCCTTTGCTGATGTTGTATCTATGACCCCCTAATATGATCACTGGAGCTCCGTACCTCGACGTTGAATATACTGCCTCTAAAATTATAGAAAACCAATTAAAATTTAGCTACCATTTGTATGGTATTGTGATGCGGTTACTAGAAATCGCAATTTAAAAACTATTGAGTGAAGCGAACGAAACGAGCGGAACGCTGTAATTGCGACTAATGTTTTTCATCCACCGAGATGATCTCGACCACCGAATATGGAATCGACTCTAGGTTTTCTTAATCGTTAGTCATGTTAACTGGGGTGGATTTTATAAAAAAAAAAATAAGACGACCAAGAATCAGATTTAAGAACGAAATACGGAACCAATGTCCAAAACCGGTTCGTTACTATGTATAATGCTGAGTACGCTTCACTCAATCGACTTTCAACTTTTTCAAGCGAAGCCAGAAAAAAATGCGAGGGTGAACTCCTAGTTTAACCATAATTTTCACTGAGATTTCATTTTATTTTGAAATAAAGACTCCAATACGGTTAGATAAAACAAGTAACAAATTTTTATGTTTTAATGCATTGTGAATTTTATAATTATTTGACTTAAAATAAAAGAAACGTCTTAGTTTTTCTTATTATCACAAGTGAGAAGTTCACGACTTGAAACTTAAATGATTATAATTTATTCATCTGGTTAAATAAAATATTACCATAAGGTTTACAATTAAGATAAATATTATTTTTTAAATAACTTTAATTTTAAATAAATTATTTAATATCATTCACTATACATATATTTGTATCACGATGCACAACCTATCTGTATTCTATCCAATATATGTACAGAAGCTATTTTCCATTGCCTCTCAAATAGTTCTTTTGTTATCATTGTGGTTGTGATTATTATTGAATCTAATGATAACGTTATTGAAGGTCATAATGGTAGCTCGACATCCTTTTGATGTCCTCGAACAGACCCACAGAGCCTTTGGACCCTTACTCCTGCAGTATTTATTAAATCTGTGACAGCCGATCGTTATTACGGGCTTGCCGTACCTTGAAGTTGTTAATTGAAAATCTGAAACGTAACAGCGACTTTATAAATAAGTATTTAGACTTTATAAATATCATTATAATTTTTATTATTAACATAAAGTTTTGATGCTGTAAGTCTAATACAAAATATTATAAAACATTCCGTCCTTGATACTACATATGTGTAAAAAATTATAGTTAAAAATCCGTCTATTATTTCTTCTACAAAATATTTTGATACCTCTGAAGACTGGAAAAATTACTTATTGTATTAATATCTTCGGAAGTTCAATACTTAAATAAGAAAAACTATATAAAAATGCCAATATTTTATTCCAATTAAATTAAGACACTTTTATATATAGTAGGAAATTTTTAGGCCCTTAAGCCTAACCCTTGGCGTTTTGCCGAATTTGAAATTGCCGAAAGCCGAATTGCATCAATTGAATATATGTATATCAAGCACCAATATTCGTGATATTGTTGGTCTTTGATTAATTATTATTGATTTCTCCATAGTTTCTGCTTGATCTGTTTTCTTGTAACTTCTTTCTCAAACTGCTTAGCATACTCCTATTCTAATGAATCCCACAAATGTATATCTTCACCCTATCCGTGCCGCGATTTAGTGTTGCGATCAAAAATTTTTACACAGAATTCTAGTTTTGGGAAAGCTTTTCTATTAGGAGAGAAATAACTGTGTGATTAACCCTTACTATTTGATCAGTACCGAGTAAAATTCCTGTAACTATCAGAGAATGTTCAATATTTTGAGTTGCACAATAATTCTGGAGGTCGTTCGATGTAAAAGCTGTTCCATGATAGAGAATAAATTTCCTAGGGTTTTAAAAAATACAAGCTTGGTTAGTCAGACGAGTCTCTCTCTCTTTGTTTAAACTGTAACCATTCGATGTTACTAGACCACTAATATGTGCTTAAATCTTTTTTGTCGTAGTCTACGGGTCTTGTCGTTTCCTTCAAGTTGGTTGATACCACCCATACTTGTAATAATACGACCAATAATACCATCCATGACTTTATTAACAAGCACACACCACTCAGCAGTAGGTTAACTGCAATGACAAGTACTAACGTCTATACCTCTTAATTCTTTTTCTCGTCTTGACGCCTCAATATGTTTTTTTTGTCTTCCTTTTTGACTGTTGTGACACAGGGCAAGCCCCCAATATAATATCGGATAGAATGGCGTGATAGATAAGGATATTTAAAGTCATTTATACTTTTACTGAAGAAATCATAGAACGAAGAATTTATGTAATACGTCATTTTGACAAAGTTCCGTCTTACATCAACACTGCTCTTGAACACTTCGACACTTTTGACACTTGCTCCTAAGTACATTTGTTTCTAATTGGGCCTCACCTCCGCTCCGTCAATAATAATGTCTACTGGTTACACAACTACAGTTATTCTAGTCAATAAACCATCTTACAACCATCTTATATTTATCTATTCTTATAATTACTTTAAAAGTTTTCATAGAATGTATATAGAATTAGTAAGGTTATCATACAAATACATACAGAATAAAAATATAAAAAAAAAACTCTAATTATACATGTTATATATTTTTTACTGTCATAAAGTTTTGATGCTGTAACTTTTAATACGAAATATTGGAAAAAATTTGGTATCTGACGATAAGTGTAATATAATTTATGTAAAATCTGTCTGTTAATACGTCTATAAAATGTTATGAGTAATGACACCTCCGAAGACTAGAAAAAGTACTTGTTATGCAATATTTTCAGAAGTTCAATAATTTTAATACTAAAATAAGGAATATAAAATAATAAGAATTTTACGACAATTAAATGAAGACTATAATATTTTAATTAGTTCTAACAACATCGTGTAATTTAATTGGAGTTTAAAAAATATCGAAGCAGTTCAAAAATTAACTGTTATATTTATATAATTAGCGGGTTTAAAAAAATATAGACACCCGGACAAACATAACAATATCATCGAAGTCAGAATAAAAGGAATATTGTTATTAATTGTAAAACACACACATATTTTGTATTACTTTACGTAATACTTAAATAATTTATTCAATATTATTATCTGAACACAATAAATATAAGATTAAATATAAAGATTTATAAGTAGAATTAAAGATTACATATTTTATTTTATTGAACTATTAAATCAGTCAAACATGTGAATGAAAATTATTTGTTTTGATAATGATATTGTCAAATGTGATAAGAGTGGCACGACAGCCCCTGGATGTTTTAGAACACTTCCAAAGAGCCCTTAGACCCTTACTCCTGCAGTGTTTATTGAATCTGTGTGCACCCATCACCAAAACTGGTTTCCCGAACTTTGAAGTTGTAAATATAACATCTGAAAGGTATCATCTATTAAAATTATTTCCTACAATTAGTTGGACTTATAACGAGGAAATTAAGATTGAATGAAAACAAAAAATCAAGTTTACAAATAATATTTCAAAGACAATAATAGTTTTATTGATAATTAAAATTTACATTCATCATGACTCAACATTTTTTTGCATACATGGCTAAGATCTAGCAATATTATTTAAAGAAAGTGCACATATGCGGATATGTTGGCAATGTTTTAGTATTTAATGTGTATGATAATTTTTAGCTTGAACTATGACGTTATTGTAGGTGATGAGGGATGCTTTACAGCCTCTCGTCTTCCTGGAACACATCCACAGAGCCTTGGCACCCCTGCTACTACAATGTCTATTAAATCTGTACTGACCCATTGTTATAACCGGTTTACCGTACCTTGATGTTGTGAAATGTATATCTGTATTAAAAAATAATATTATTAAATAATGTCACGTTATAAATATATTATTTTATATTATTTCTAGTTTCACATATTTCCTAACTGATTTTCTTAACATTATGGGTCATACAAAAAAAACAATAATTAAAGTGGGACATAATTTTATTTCATATTAATCAATCACGGCATTTTTATTTTTAAGTTAAGTAAAGCATACATCTTGAATAAATTAATGGCTATCGAAGCATAGCAACCATATTGTTTGTAACTGATTTATTAAAATATTTTTCTTGACAATTTAAACATAGAAAAAAACACCAATCACTCTTGAACTATCACTTTATAAAGTTAGTATGTAACTTTTTCTATAATAATACGACACCTAAATATTAAAGTGAATTTCAGCAATATTTTTGTTATCACACATCGTAAAATAGCATAATTCAATATACATTTATAGTTTTATTGTTTTGTCTTGATTGTCGATTGATCTATCACACAAAGCCTTTATTTCAATGGTTGTGTGGTCGTTGTTTAATGATGATGTCCTCACACGTGATGAGGGTCGCCTGGCAGCCGGAGTGCACCTTCACACAGATCCACCTCATCCTCGTCTTACCCTGACTGCCGCTCCAGAGATTAAAACGATACCGCCCCATCTGTATGACAGGTCGACCCGTGCGAGATGTTAGGAACTGAGCTAAAAAAAATAACAATACTTAACATGCAAATACATAATAATTATATTTTTTACGTATAAAAAAAATGTATCTCTATTATTTATCTTCCTTTCATTATTCACCATTTTCAATTTATAACCCTATTCTTCAACAGGGATGGATTATCACTCTAATTGCATAACTTATTATAAGTAGGCACTCACATTAATACATACATACACACACACACACACACATACACACACACACATATACACTCTAACACACTGAAACAATCTCTCCAACATATACAACAGTTTAATGTTAAGAGCTCACTTTGTTAATATGGCGACCTGGAGACCTGTAATACAGGTATTCTTACACCCATCACGGGCTCCAGTCTCTCACTAATGTATATTTATATAAGATGATGTGTATCAAGTATTTTGTGAAAAGAGAATAAATTTATTATTCTGTATACACCTGAACGCGTTTTTCATAACTATATCCTAATGTCTGTGAGGTGTTTTCTCAAGGATGATGTCGTCATATGTAATAATCTTCCCGGGACATTTATTCCTATTATTCCTCTTGGAACAGAGCCACCGTCCTCTCGGGCCCTTGCCATAACACTTGTTATATCTATGACCATCCAGCACTATAACGGGATGTCCGCTTTGTGAGGTCGTGAACACACATACAGATGGCTCTGTAATTATTACAACCATGCATACATATTGTACATTGAAAATATAACAAAGACCATAATCATCATAAATTACAGATCAATTAGGTAATAATCTATGAAATTGACATTTTATATGCGAGTAATATAATATATTTATTTAATCAAAGTATGTACCATTGTTATTTATGCACTTTTGCCATCACATTGGTAGTTCATTGATCTCTTTACTTAAAGAACCAATCGAACGACAATCAATAATTATTATTTGAACACTGACACAGCAGCCTGCAGTTAACTCAGACATGGTTTTGCCATGGATTTGGTACCAAAAAAGCTTTTAATTCTTCATAATCAACCTTGGACTACGGCTGCGAACTAGGCTCGTTTTGTAGGTCGAACTTTCCAGAGCTGGAAATGTTGGAACCAAAAACACTGTTTTATTTTGTGACACCACTGCCATACACATTCCTAATCCTTCGAGCCATTTCTCCGAACTCTTACTCGTAAATTATGTAATATTTTAAGTTTTCAATATTATAAACTGAATGACGTAAATAGAAACTTAAAGATGAAAAAACAAATGCATGAGTAAATAACTGTGTAAACTTGAAATTGGAATCCCAAACCAAAAAGTAGATATTTGAGATCAAAGTGGCCAGTACGACATAACGCTAATTTCATATTATGTACTGACCAAATAAATTCTTTAAGAGGATAATTAATAAAATGATAATATATGAACAGTTTAATAACGACATTTCGTAATATTTATTAATCTAGCCATGTTTCTTTACCGATCTAGTTTCAACTTCTAGTACAAATAAAGTAGTTGCCGCTCTACTCAAATTCTATTATATACTAGCTGTGCTGTGCAATTCGTTCACGTGGAATAGTGACTATGAGCAGCGTTTTTTGAAATATATACTTATTTTTATTATGAATAGATTGTATGAATAAATTCATAGTTTGTATGTATAAGCATAGAATAGTGTTCGACGTGATTCTTTAATTTGACATAACTTTTTTATTTATGAACCGATTGACATGAAACAAACACTAAAGCATAACTGAAGCATACCACAATATATTCGTGAAAACCGCATCCAACTCGGATCAGCCGTTTTTGAGATTAGCGTGAACAGACAAACAGACAAAAAAAAGTTAATTACATTTTTGGGTTCGACATCGCCATAATAATAACCCCTGCTATTTTTTTTATTTTTATTTTCAATGTACAGACAGCACTTTTCTACAATTTTATTATATGTATAGATGTATATTTCTAAAGAAAACATAATATATTTGACAAGAATGATACTGTGTTTATATTATTATTTGATAAAAATGATATCCAATTTGAATTCTGTTTATTAAAATCGTAATACGTTTTGGTATTTTCCACTAAAAGACAGTACCAATAAGAGTATTAGAAAGTAATGAATTATGGACAAAGATTTTTATATTATTCAGTGAGAATAGTACACTAGAATATAAATGATAACTTAGTAGGTTAACGACAAATCTTATTGTAGGATCCCTGATCCTATATGTAAGTATAACTAGTCACTGGCTCACAACTACCCCGCCTAGAGCGCAGGCGCACGCAACCGTTCCACTCCGCGCTAGTCGTTAGACCGCCGAGCGCATGCCACCTCCTCCAGTGGGGTACGTGAGACAGTGTATTATATCTAATGTATAGATACCAATGGCGGCTGTACCTGAAGTGCACTCGTGCACTGAACCACCAATTCAAAAGATTTAAAAATTACAAAATATTACTTCATCTTTATTTTTAAATTAACATTTTAATATTTAGTTTTTAAACATACAAAAACGTATAAAACATTAAATTTCCCAATTATGGTCAAAAAGTTTGAGCGCTTTACTAAACTAATATCTCGTGCGCTTCGGCGAGTGCACGAGGACTCCTAATAAATCTTGTATAAGACACGAATTAATACGCCTGACGCGTGAAACAAAAGATGGTTCATAGAAATGTACCGAGTAATGAGTCGGTTCTCGAACGCCGCACGAGCGGCCGAAGATAACCGAGGGCACCCGATGTATGAGGAATTGAGCCGTGATTGACATCTCGTTATGTTTTGTTGCATTTTCTAATTTTAATATTTTAGCAAAGTGCACCACCGGTTCGATTACCCACCAGCCGCCACTGATAGATACATACACTACACTTATATTTAATGTTATCAATGAGAGTGGTCTGTTTTCTGTACTATAAATCCATCGATGGTCATAATCTTCGCCCTACATCCCGCCGAGCGTGCTTTCACGCACACCCATCTTTTTTTCGGTCCCATCATCTTCGCTTTCTGATTGTATCGATAACCGTCCAATTCCATGACCGGCTTACCATATCTAGAGAGAGTGTAAGTGGCCCCTGAAATGGAATTAATGAATAAGTGAAAAGGTACATAATAGTTTATTCAAAAAGTTGAAGTGCTATTAATATTAAAACTTATATATGCATAATATAATTTAATAATTTTAATTTCTTTTTAATTTATTTATAATAATACAACATTTAGAAGCAGTAGAAGCGTAATTAATAAACAAAACATAATAATCCTAACCTAAAAACAAGTTTCCTAATGAATTATCTAAGCATAATCTCTATAGTAACAGTTTTTTTTACATATTTAAAAATCTATAGCCGCTTTCCCCACATTTTTTCTTCTTATAGTCAAAGATATGGAATCCAATAGGTCTCTATGACGCTCGAGTTAATCCCAATTTAGCATCGTGGGCTCCGATACTATAAGTATCACAGGAATGTATGTTGTTACAGGAAACAATATTATTGGCAATAGTGACTAATTTCGCCTGGCAGCCTCTGTGAGCGCGGACACACACCCATCGAGTTCGATAACCTCTAGTGTCCGAATATTTCCTATTGAAACGCCGACGACCTATAAGTATAACCGGCTGACCGTATCTAGACGTACTAAACACAGCCTCTGAAAAGAATTCCATCTGTTACTGATATTGCAATAAGAACTTCAAATTATATTTACGCAAGGATTGAAACAAAATTTAATTCTAAATAAAACTCTGAAGAAAAAACAAAAAATATATTTTATCTTAGTTTCAATACAAAAAATTCAATTTTAATACAGCAGAAAATATATATTTAGTGATTATGGATATTTATGTATTTAATAATTTCATTATCTATAGTGACCGCCCTGGCTTTGCAGCCTTTATTGTCGTTAATACATATCCATCTTGTCTTTGGACCTGAACATCTTGAATATTTCCTTAACCTGTATTTGCCTATCTGCATTATCGGATTGCCAAATCTAGTTTGAAGATATACCGCTTCTGAAAATTTTTAATCATAAACTAAAAGAACGCATTTTAAACTAAAATATTTTTGATTACTCACAAAAAGAATTTTAAAAAAATTTGAAGATCAACTTAAACGTTTATTTATATGAAAATTTATTTTTTTATAAAATAGGCAATTTATATTCGTAATATATGTTTTTAAGGCCAATAGAAAACGTTAATAAATTCAGAAGAATGATAAATTGTGTCACTACCTTCATAAGTAGTCTACAATGCCATTATTTTAGAAGCATTTATTAATAGCATGGGTATTTATAATATTATTTATTTATAAATAGATTAAAATAAATGTCGAAATAAAACCAACTTCTGGAATTAAACAATTATAATATATTAAAAACATTGACTATACAAATAAAACCTTAAAAAGAAAACAATTTCATGGATGAGATATTATCTTAAGAAATAATAAATATAAATAACAAAGATAATAATAATTTTCCCTTAATAAAAATAAATTAATATACTTTTTAAAACCAGTCAAAATTGAACATTTAAAAACATTTTTATTACTCTTATACTATTGTAAAACGATAATACATTGCTACGATTGGGTTTACTAAATACTAGCTAGTACCGCCTTCTTAATTTATATTTTTAGAGATATTAACAATTGTATGCAAGAAATAAAAATTACATGGAAACGATGTATTTAAAATTAATGTATTGTTAAAACTATAACTTTAGGTATATTAAACGAAGATGTAGTAACATTTTTTAAGAGCCAAATATTTAAGAATTAGGACTTAGAAAGTTTATTGAACCCTAACTATAAGGTTCATCGCGACAGCATTACAACTACAGAAATTTATAATCTGATTTATTATTGAAGAATTCCAAAAAGATATTACGTTATAGTATTCTAAACCTTAATCATTAGTGGTTATGGTCGTTATTAAATCTGACAATGACTTCATCGATAGTGAGTATCTTGGCCCTACATCCCTTATGATCCTTTGTGCAAATCCACCGCGCCTTCGGACCACGGCTGCCACTCCAACGGTTGAACCTGTACCTCCCCAATTGTATCACTGGCTTTCCGTTACGAGATAACGCGAAAACCGGCTCTAAAATTTAATTATTATAGTATTAAACACAAAATCATTCAATCATTACGTACATATTAAATTACATCAAAATATGAGCATAATATTTTTTTATCTCTATCACATAAATGTCATATTTAAAAGTTTCCCAATATACAAAGATATGTATTACATAGTTAAGATATTTAAGCGTTTGATTTAAGCTGAGCTTTGCATTTGTGTGAGTGTACACGGATAGTGTAAGTGTGATGTCAAATTTTTGAATGCCACGTTCTTTTCTAGTTTTGAACCGGTTTATGCCGCTTTTACTCCGCCCCGCACCTTCCGCACTTAACCCTTTGTACTGGTAGCAAAATCAAATATTGAAAACGCAATGTCATGTGAAGAACAAATTGTATTGTTTTTAAAAAAAAATATCAATTAATATTTCTTCTTTCCATAATATTCATAATATTTCCATCTAGCCTTTTACAAGTTTTGCTTATTTTATAGGATTTATGTTATGTATCTATTTAAAATATAATAAAATTGAATTCTTAAAGTTTTTTGTCCAACTCTACTTTTACCTTCACTCACACAAATGCAAAGCTCAGCTTAAGTCTAACGGACTATAATTACAAGAATGTTCTAAGGACATATTTATAAGAGTATTTTCTATAAGAATATTTAAAACCGTACACAATATGGTAAATATTTTGAAACCTTTGTTTAGTGGTTATGTTCTCCTTTTCGCTGTACCACAACTCCTTCAATCGTCACCACCTTAGCCGTACAGCCGTAGTTATTTTTATTACAGAGCCACAAAGCCCTTTGCTCCTTCTTGCCGGTCCACTTTCGATATCGATATTTCCCTATTTGAAGCACCGGGTTCCCGTTTCTGGATAACACGAACGTAGCTGAAATAGTCACGTACTTAATATTTTATTGAATATAATATACGATTTTGTATGAACAAACTATACAGTGATAATTTCAAGGTTCGACTTCATATAACTATTACGGAAAATTTTGAATAAATAACCAAAAAACTATCAACGTTTAGTTTGTCAAAAATAAAAATAAAAAAAGTGACAAACTTGACAAGAAAAAAATAATAGTAAAATAAAAAAAATCAATCAATTTATTCAAGTTAACTTGACAAGAACAAAAGAATAAGTAAAATAAAAAAAATCAATCAATTTATTCAAGTTAACTTGACAAGAACAAAAGAATAAGTAAAATAAAAAAAATCAATTAATTTATTCAAATTAACTTGACAAGAACAAAAGAATAAGTAAAATAAAATCAATCAATTTATCCAAGTTAACTTGACAAGTACAAAAGAATAAGTAAAATAAAATAAAGCAATTGATTTATTTAAGTTAACTTGACAAGAACAAAAGAATAAGTAAAATAAAATAAATCAATTAATTTATTCAAATTAACTTGACAAGAACAAAAGAATAAGTAAAATAAAATCAATCAATTTATCCAAGTTAACTTGACAAGTACAAAAGAATAAGTAAAATAAAAAAAAATCAATCAATTCATTCAGTGGTTGTGCTCGTGACAGAATTTAACAATTTGATTATATAGCGTTATCATAGTGGCCCTGCATCCAGTTTTCACGCACACCCATCTAGCACTAGAACCGCCCCATCTAATGTATCTGTATTTACCGATTTGAATAACTGGTTTCCCGAACCTGGATGTATAAACCATCTCCTGGGATAGCAAACCTTGAACCACAATTATCTTGTGTTAATAAATGGATAACATATTATATTTAAAGCTTGAATAATCTTAATTATCACCAAACGAATGCTCATCCCCTTATCTTGATATTTACCTCAATTTAGTTCTATTCAGTATAGTTTTTTATTTTACATGTTGATAGTTAGACCAACATGTGTTATTTTTTATTAGTTTATTTCATAACAATGAAATTATAAAAAAATTAAAAAAATTGAGTAATGTTATTTCCGTGCTTTAAGTAATAGGTAATTTAAAACCTCTTATTGTTATTGTATAAGTTTAATGCTACTTTTAAATTAACATGTTAATAAATAAAATATTCACATATACCTCTGTATAGTTAAGGCAATTCTAGTTTATTTTTATATAAATATATAATAATTTGTTCATAACATAAACCTCATGAAATCAGTTGCTATAATAAATCCTACATAACTATATCATTCTGTAAAACACAGTTCGTAAATTTCACAAACAAATATTACTGAGCTTTTCATCGTATTCTTGTTATAAAAAGTCTATAACCATAAATAGACATTAATTAAAAAATACTGTTACATGTTACAATAATCTGTTACATTAAAAATTAAACAATTGATAATAAAATTACGTCATAAAATATCTAGTCAGCATCTTATCGAAATGGATTCATAATTACATAATATATTTAGTCAATTAAATGCCTTTAAAACCACTTCAGTGTGCACAATATTACAGTAATCGCCTAATATTTAACGGTTATCTTAATAAATATCAAATTACGAAGACAGAGTTTAAATAATACTTTAAATTCATATAATCTAAGCCAAAGCACTTTTCACCAGCATAGGCATTAATCTACAATAATTATATGCAGCCTAAAATGTTATTTAAAAATAATTTATTTTATAGAGAAAAATCTTAATTAAATACACGACATGTTAAAACATTTTTATGACACTTTATATAGGAGTGATTTCTTTTAAATAAATAACTTTTTTTATTAACTTTTCATTCAAATATTATGTTGCAGAAACCTTCTTCATGAAATATCAAGATATAATGGATATCAAATAACAAAATTCTAATTCTAAATAGTATTCGGACGCTATCACTTATCAAACTATGAATATAACAAAAATATACTGCTAAGATACAATAATAACTGACTAGTAACAAATATAGGTATTAAAACAAATCATAAATGTGTGTGGAAGTTCTTTGATCGTATGATAACATTGTCTACTGTGGTGACTGTGGCTCGACAGCCGTTCTGATTCTTGACGCAGGTCCATCGTGTGTGCGGGCCCTTGCTGTAACTCCAACGGTTGTATCTGTACCTTCCTAGAACCATCACCGGATTACCGTATCTGGTGATTTCGAAACGCACTGTAAAATAATGTGATGGTTAGTTTTGCATGAGTTAAAAGTAAGACAATTACCATCACATATAATGGTTATCAAATTGAAACAATAGTAATGTTTCGTTTTATATTTTTATTCATCTTCTATATATATAAAAATGGATTGCTGTTCCTTGGTCTCGCTAAAACTCGAGAACGGCTGAACCGATTTGGCTAATTTTAGTCCTGAAATACTCCTGGAAGTTCAGGGAAGGTTTAAAAGGTGAGAAAAATTGGAATAATTGCCGGAAAAACCCTAAAAACAGCTCTTCTATTTCCCATACAATCGTTTTTTTTTTTTTACATTAGATTTGACAACTAACTAATATGTCAATCATTCTGTTTGATTGAAACAGGCAAAACCTGATTATTCATGGCCTCTAAGACGGAATAGAGTTCGCCTGGTCAGCTATACCTATATACAGGGTGACTGGTGAATTACTATCAATATTTAAGGAGAATACTCGGTACATGATTCTCATTCGAATTATGTAAAAAATAGGTACTTCATTATTGACCAAATTTCCGTATAAATAAATAAAGTGTAGACACGTTCCAAGTGTTCCAAGTGTGGACGCGTGCGGCGGCGTGCTGATACAACACCACGCCGCCGCGCGCGAGTGTGTGTGTGTGTGTATACCTAATCTGTAGGGTGTTCACACGATGCGTAATTAATTACATAACTTTTGGTTAACTTTACTTACAAGTTTATTAATATTTATGTTATATTAATTTTTATTTTGTCATATATGATCGTCAAATATCACGTCCTCAAGTATCGATAGTAATTCACCAGTCACCCTGTATATTACTCTTGACCAAACTAACGCGGACGAAGTCGCGGGCAAAAACTAGTACATAATAAAAGCTTATAAGAAATTTAAATTCTCGTTTTAGTTAAATTTCAATACAGTTTACGTGGTCAAAAATCACTAAACAATTTCTTCGCGATAATATTAATAAATTTAAGTTGTTGGACAACATCGTTTTCATTAAAATAGGTATCGTAAGGGTCATATTATTAATTTCCATTCATACTTCAGGCTTCAGTAGATACAATTCTGTTCATCAATGGTTATGTTCACTCCTCATCATGACAAGTTCATTATACACGGTGATCACACTTGCTTTACAGCCGCCGGAGATTTTACTGCAGTACCAATTAGCACGCGGTCCTTTGCTGTCACTTCGTCTATTATATCTGTAACCTCCCAACAACATAACCGGTTTCCCGAATCTGGATACTGTGAAAGTCGGTTCTGAAAAACATTATCATAATTAATCACTGGTATGAAATCGTACATTTTTTATTGCATTGTTAAAACGAAATTAAGAATGATATAGGTATTAAAACAATATTATTGGAAAATATATTTTATTACTGTTAATACATAAGTACTTTGTTTTACTCTAAATATATAATACTTTATACTAAAAATACATAATGTTTTATACTTTATTCTTATGTTTATGTTCATTGTGTGTCTGGATAATAACATTATCTATTGTGATCACTTTCGCACGACATCCAGAGTTCTTCTTAGTGCAGATCCAAGTTTTTTTTATGCCGTTATGTCCGTAATGAATTCCATAACGTTGATTTCCGATGCACAATATCTTTCTCCCATTTGTCGATGGTATGAAATGTGGAACTAAAATTATATGAATTTTCATTCAATAGTCTAATCGTATATGAATATAATACATTTTATCAAAAGAAAAACTAAAGGTCACTTTTGTGTTTGAATATAACGGTATAGATATACAGGGTGACTGGTGAATTACTATCGATACTTGAGGACGTAATATTTGACGATCATATATGACAAAATAAAAATTAATATAACATAAATATTAATAAACTTCTAAGTAAAGTTAACCAAAAGTTATGTAATTAATTACGCATCGTATGAACACCCTACAGATTAGGTATACACACACACACACACGCGGGTGCGGCGGCGTGGTTTTGTATCAGCACGCCGCCGCACGCGTCCACACTTGGAACGTGTACACACTATTTATTTATACGGAAATTTGGTCAAAAATTAAGTACCTATTTTTTTAACATAATTTTTTTTTTGATGACGCATTGAAACTCTTTTTACGAGCCGTCCAACCTGCCTTGGTGGGGCCGGAAGGGATGTGTGAGGCTCGGCCTGGGCAGGCCCCTACTCACTAAAACCACTGCGAAAGCCATCGGCCGCTATGTCGATGTACCCCGGATCTGTCAGCGACAGGGCACACCAAATACCACCCACGTTTTCCAATTATGTTTTAAGATATGTTACAAACAGTTAGGGATTCAATAAATTAGACAATATGAAAAATTAATTTTTATTAGAATTATTTTTTTTTGTAACATCAAGTTTAAAGAAAATCACATCAAAATACTATGTAACAATATCCATGTCTTGACACTGCCTTAGACATGTCGTCGGGGCTAGTGTAAAACCGCGTAACTAGCATTGGATAATTCCGCGTTCTTTTGTAATAATTGAATAAATTAAACACAAAATAATTACTAATTGTGAAAAAATGACCTAAAAAGTCGTCAATTTAGAAAATATTTCAACTTAAACTTCTAATAATCAGCTTCCAATGTAGATACGCGGAATTATCCAGTGGTAGTTACGTGGTTTTGCACTATCCCTGACGATATATTTGAATGTTTTGAACATAGATACACTAGAAACAGATAAAAATCATTTACCGTCATATTGAAAGTCAGTCTTGTCATTTTCATATATTTTTTGTTTTTCTTAATCATTTCTATACAATTCCATTTATAACGCGTTTTTGGAAATAATTTTATACTATATTATCTATCACAAAGTCGACTATAGTTGTACTTTAACGAGTTCAAAATACTAACAGGTTATCGAGCTATATTGGTTTGTATTAAAACAGAGATTATTATACGAATTATCAACTGTTCTATCACACCAACACTATACATATATAACATTTAAATGAAACTCAAACAGTTCCCAGATACATAGCTCTTTACAAATCTTCCGAAATAAAATCACATACGAAGATTTTAAAACTATCACTCATTGAGGATTACTTGAAGTAATACTATGTTTGAATGCTTTCAACATTTTTCTGTTAAATGAAACTAATATGCTTAATTTATTATTCTAGAACTATTATATTTTATTTTAAATCTTTGAATGTTCACATATCGTCTGCCCGTGATCACGGTTGCTGAAAAGTTGCCAAAACGTCGAGATTATGTAGTCTTAGAGTTATAAGAAAATGAATACTCGCGAAAGTCTTACTTCTCTGTTAACTGTTAACTATTTCAGTGATTGTGTTCTCTATCCATAGTATATATCTCGTCATCTACTGTATACACGGTCGCCCTACATCCAGCAGGATTCTTTGAGCATCTCCATCTATACCTTGGACCTTTGCTATTAACTTTGTGATATCTATATTTTCCTATAACCATTGCCATATTCCCATTCCTTGTAGTCACATACTTTGGTATTGGTTCTGAAATTAAAATCGAATAAGATTACACGTTAATAGAAAAGAATATTATAAAAAGGTGAACCTTTATTAAAACCATGTCAAATTTTTACAGTTTTTTTTTAAGGGTTGAAAACTAAAAGATTTTTATTTAGAATTTCCATACTTTATTTATAAGACAAACCAATATTAAACCACATATAATAAATATAAAAAGCACACTACATTTTCTATAAGAATATTTTCCTACTAAAGTTAGTACTCGTAGGTACTGAATAGTACTGACTATTTATTATAAACTTATAATATTCAAAAATACACAGACATTTGGAAGTTGAAACATATTAATAATTCGTCATTATATTGCTAATATTATGTAAGATAAGACACACGTAAAATATCACGCGAATCATAGACAATATTTGATAATTACCTTAAACTACTACATGTAAAATTTTATACCAGTCTTCTTTTAAAAACAATACAATCATATATGTCTTCTACAACTTAAATATGTATAAACATTTAAATCTAGACACAACAGAATAGTTCTCATAATTGATTTATACTACAACATAATACAACTAGTAGCAAAAACTAGTATTAAAAACTACTGGAATGAAGTATTCTATTCTTTCTAATATAGTAATAAAGGTGTAATGTTTTTCAATGGTTGTGATCGTTTATTGTTTTGATGATGACGTCATCGATGGTGTATATTGCCGCCCTGCAGCCAAACGGAGTCTTCACACAGGTCCACCTGATCTTCGGACCCTTGGAACGATTCACCTTGTTGAAGCGGTACGTACCAACCATTATGACGGGGTTACCGGCACGAGTTTTGCCGAACACTGGAACTGATAATATGAAACCTTATGAATATTACAAAATAAATATTGAGATGAAATATGTGCTAAAAAATTCACCTTATTATAAAACTTTCCAAGTCTATAAACAATGAATATAAGGCGAAAATATGAATAAAAAAACATTTTTTTACAGATATTTTTATTTATCTATTTGCTTTCTACCTGGCAATTTCCCAGCTTTAGCCAGGGTCTGCCTTACATGTTGTGAATAGTTTTTAGCTAATTATTTTTACGACCCGCCGCCTGCCTGACATCAACCCTCTTTGGGAATGCATTAATCAGTGATGTCCAAATACTCTTAGAAAGTACATATGCTCGGAAAAATCACATTGATACTTGCCAGGGCCAGGATCGAAACCGCGCCCTCGTGTGTGAGAGGCGGGCCTTTTAACCACTAGGCCACCACTGACTTACTTTTATTTATCTATTTTGGTAGCACGTAAATAAAGTACAATTTTAAATGCAACATCAGTCAGGTTATGCGTGTTCACGTAATGAATGTGTAGTGTGTATAGTGTACACTTTACATCCGTAACGTGCTTTAACACAGGTCCATCTAATTTTCCGTCCCTTGTAGCGGGTCACTTTGTTATAGCGATGTCCCCAATTATTATAACCGGATTACCGGCGTGTGTTTTACCCTATAATGGCACTGAAATAATATTAATTAATACACCTTAAAGATACAAATAATTAAATTTTAATAACAAAAAACATAAACTAAATACTATATACAAAGAAATATTTAATCTTATTCAATGTTTTTGGGTGATAAATAATCGTTGGATACTTAACACATATTAGTTGACCCCTTTAATGAAATACTCTCCTATTTTGAAGACGATATTTTACTTTTTCTAACAAAAAATGGAATTATTTATAAAAATTGCGATCATTTATCACCAAATATAAAAAAATCACTAAACATTTATGAGTTCTTAATGTTTTTTTTAACCTTAAAATAAATTTAGTCTTTGTGTTTACTTGTATTGACACATTTTCATTGTAATTATAAAATTCTTTTATCATAAAAACAAATCTCTTACAATAGTATTACTTATGTATTAAAACTGTTTAATTTTAAATAACATTGCAACATAAATTTAACTATGGTTATGATTCAATGTACTGTCAGCGATAATATCTTCTATAGTTTTAACGAACGCCTTACACCTCGTCTTCGACTTCATAGAACAATGCCACCTTATCCTTAATCCACTTTCCTTTTCTTTATAAAAACGATGTTCTCCAACAACAAGCATCTGTGTACCACGATTTGTTAAAACTATTCTCACTGAAAACGGAACAAAACTAAAGAACTATTGGAATTATTTTCATAATAAACTTCGAGAATGTTCAGAATCAAAATCGTAGGTGATGCAAGAACATTAAAAGATGACGAGGTGATTGAATAAAACGACACAAAAAACCAATAATACACATGTATACTGTAAGTAGGCAAAAATATCAGACAAAATAAACATTACTCATGATCAATGATTATATATGAACAAAAGCAGTTAACTATTTATCCACCACCAGAACCTTAAGTAATATTTATGTTAGTTCATTTGTCACTATGCGACTCTAGTATTAAAGGGTTATGACAAATATTAATATGTTTATAACTAACATTAACACTTATATACCAAGCCATTAATATAACAAAATGGAAATGTAATCTAATATTCAAATTCACATAATACATTTTACACTAATTCATTAATAACTTCACCATTTCGTCTATAGAGCATTCTGTTAGGAAAACGACGTTTCTGAGTTTAATATATGTTTTGTCGAATGGTTTACGATGTGATGATGTGAAAAAATAAATATGTGGACGAACGAATACGAACCAGTTACATCAAATGAAACCTTATGCTAGTTATCATAAATTAAATATTCCTTTGAATAAAATGTAATTGACGTGACCCTTGAAGGAGTCCTTATTGAAATATCTGTCATATCTGCACGAATTCCAATAAAATTATACCTACAAAAGATGTATTGATCTTGTTTGGCATCCAATAAGATTTCAATGGTTCTAGGATACCGTTGCAAAATTGTAACCGTTATTACTGTTATATTACGATTCAAAATCGGTTAGCACTCGTGTGTGCCATGGGATCGTGGAAGCCCCATACTCTAACGATGGCGTTCTCCATAGTGTGTAAGGAAGCTCTGCATCCAGCTTTAGCCTTCACGCAAACCCATCTCGTCCGGCTGCCGTACTTATTGACTCTGTTAAAACGATACTGTCCAATCATAATGACAGGGTTACCTCGCTGGGATTGTGCAAACACGGGAGTCAAATCTGAAAAATATATGACTGTTAACATCTGTTGAGGAAACACAGTAGCACGAACTACTTCAGTAGCACAAAAAGGTGGATTTATAATATTTAGTATCCTCTCCCTTAAAATTCGGAGTTGTTCAAACCAATAAGAAGAGACTTTTACTGGAATAATGAACAAATAGTTAAGCAATATATAGTAGGTAGATAACAAAAATTTTAATATTATTTATTTAAAATTAAAATACACATCTGATATTTAACAATTAAGTTTATTTCATCTACATATTATAAACTAACATTACAATATTATTTAAAATAGTCAATTTAATTAAACTAGGATTGTAAGAACTTAAAGTTAAATCCTAATAATAAAACTGCTAAATGAAACTTATTTACAGGATTCACTATTAGCACTAAAATAACTATTTTAAGTATCCTATTTTATATAAAAATATAAAAAAGAACATTTTACGCGATACACTCGGGATTTTTATGTTATATTAATGAACCAACATCTTTTTGTTTGCTTGACTGTTTTTTTTACGACTTAGAATTAAAGAGGGATAGAACAAAATGTTTTGTTCTAGAAAAAAAATGACTAATATGAACCATTTAAAAACTAAAATATTGTATCAACCTTCGAGGCCCTGAACGCAATTTAGTTGAAAAGTTTGTTTCTTTAAATCCATTCAAAACACATTGCAAACTTTAAATATTTCATCATTGATAATTAGGAAGAAAGAAAAGATTTTTCAAATGTGTATAATTAAAAATTATTGCAACCATTATCCATATTTCTTAAGAAACTAATTAATTACGAAACATAAAATAAATGTAAAAGTAAATTGCATTACAATTAAGTATTCAATTCAATGGTTATGCGAGCCTAGAGTTTTTATTATCACGTTATCTATGGTGGTGATGGCCGCTGTACATCCAGATTTCTTCTTTATACAAGTCCACCTGACCTTCGAGCCCCATGAGGCGTGCTTGTTAAAACGCCATTCACCGATTTGGACCACGAGATTACCGCGCTGAGACAATCCGAACTTGGGCTCTGAAATCAAAAACTTTGTTAAGACCCCGCTAAAACATAAAATAATATTAAGATATTCATAACATTGGAATTAGTTAAAATAAAACATTATTGAAGACAAAATTAATTTTAATTCATCTAAATTCATACATTTTAATCTTAAAAAATACCTTAAAACTTATTGAAATATAAATTTATTTTTTATACTAAAAGTACTTACATCGGTAGTAGAATAGAATACAATATGTTTTATTGTTCATCACGAAAAATTTAATAAACACGGAATAATATTAATTATCTAAGCCTGAGTTAACTTCTTAAGTTTAAAATATATATGTATAATAACCAATAACTGTTTTAATTAGATCCATTTCTTTAGCTACATTTGTGGTGCTATAATGATTTCAATGTAACTCATACTTTATATTATCAATAAATACGTCTATCCTATTGCTTTACAAATATCACTATTATATATTTTTAACATAATTATTAAGTATCCGATCTTTATTTAATAACTATTTAAAATAAGGTACAGCTATCACCTCATTTACTCTTATAGTCGACAATGATCTAAGGATTTACGAGTATATTCATATTTTAAAAAATTATGATAAAATTATGCTAAAATATTTATATTAAAAATGATCCTTTTAAACAGTTTTAAATACAAACGTATACATTACACACGTATATAAATATTCACCGATAAAATGGTCATGGTGTGGTCGGAAACGTAATTCTGAGTAGACTCTATAATCTATAATATGTAAATAGAAAATTGAGAGTCGATTCTATAATCCTAATAAATAATTAAATTCAGAATCATTTCTATAATTTTAAAAACAGACAATTTTACGAGTAGATTCTAGAATTTTCTAGTTATTAATACGATTGTTTAATGATTATGCCAGCCGTTTAGTTTCATGAGTCGGTTGTCAACAGTGACCGCTACACAGCGACAACCGCGACTCTTCCTCTGCCTGCACTCCCACCATGTCTTGAGATGTCTGGTCAGCTTCTTAGTAAACCGATAGTTACCCCACGTTATTGTAGGATTACCAAACTTCGTGGTCTCGAACTTTATAGCTCCCGGACGGCCCAATTCTGAAAATATAAACATTTATAATCGATTCATAGTTTTATGTTACGCTATTTACGAGTATATCTTTGTGGATAGTTCATTTAGTTGTGTTTATTGAAAGTTAAGTTTTTTGAAATCAGTTTATTATAAGTAAAAATCAGTTTTAGTTATAAAACTAGTGATTATGATAATTGTAAATCTCTATGAGATCGTCTTCGATTGTGACTATTCGCGCTCGGCATCCTCTAGACTGTCTTATACAACGCCAGTTCGTTTTAGGTCCAGCTTTTCGTCGTTCACTAAATCTGTACTGTCCATAGCGCAGTTGAGGTTTACCGAATCTAGACAATGTGAACACTACAGCATCACCTGCAATACATGGTTACTCGTATAAGAATTTTTTTATATAAATATTATCTTCCAACCATTTAGTTAAACATATGTATTAATGTGAGTTACCCTCATGAATCATTGGATATTACCTTGAAACTAACTTTTAAGAAGAACGTTTTAGAACAATTTACCTGCCTAGTCAATTACTATCACAGATTTCAAATAATATTCAGTGACTCAAAATATAAATTAGTAATGTTGATAGACCTTTTAATTATTTAAAGTATCAAGAACTTACTAGAAAATCTCGAGAGACTATTAAAAGTAGACAAATAAAACAATAACTCATCCTACCAATTACAAAAGTAAAAAAAAAATCTCCATTTATAACTAGCTATCAAACAGTGAAGTGATAATAATTTGTCTTAATAACTAATGAGGTAACTCTGTTTAGGAAAAAGGAACATAGGGCTATAACGTAGTAGATAATATACATTTTACTTATGTATGTATTAAACAAGAATCTATTAGATCTCGTAAGTTTATTAATAGAGTAGAAACAAAATAATAACATGGAATTTTCAAAATAATTTAACAGCCAAAACTACATATCAAACAATTTTGTTATACCAATAAAATATTTTGATATATATTTATTTATTAGAATTTTATACGTCGGTATGATTATGACTATTCTTTATGGAAACTATTTCACCATCAATAGTATTAACACGAGCGATGCAGCCAGCCTTGTTACACCTCCAAGATATTTTACTGCCGTTTTGGTAGTTCTTCGAGAAACGAATACCTTCAAAAATCAATCTCGTCGTGCCTTTCTCGCTTCGGAAGAACAGTGGACCTGCGCACACAAACTTATATTGCACCCCCTTTATACATATGTATTAAATATTATAATAAAATGTGATAAGAACAAAAATAGTTGCTTCATGTATAAAATATATTAAAAATATCCTCAGAAAAATAATATAATTTTGATAGCAATACATAACACATCGTTAATAAATTTAATCTAAATTTTATGAATATTAATTTTGGTGTAGCCAAAGAACATTGAATAATGTCTGTTGGTCAGTGATTATGTTCATTTCTGGTGGCTATGAGTTCCGAGGAAATTGTGGTGGCTGTAGCTGGACATCCTCTCTTGACGCACCTCCAAGATATCCTTTTACCAGATTGATATTCCTTCCTGAAACTCTGCCCGTCCTTGTATAGACAAACATTTCCTAGCCTATTCAAACGAAATTCTATCCCTAAAAAAAAATTATACATTTATAAACTACATATTAACTATATAAGTAGATGGTGCCACAGACATTACAAACAAATATTAATCGAAAAGATTTTCTAATTGAAAAGGCTTAAAGTTAAATACAATACACAAAAAATAGTGCGTGGAATCCCTCCGCGGGGAAGAAGTAAGACTTCGTAATGTAGAAAGAAAATAGGAAAGGGTAACAATAGATTATTTTTAATGAACTCATTTTGTTTCTTCAACACAAACTTTATTAACATTTCCTACAATTCACGATTGATCGCAATCTTTTCAATTATCATTTATGAGTGGAGAAATATTCATCTATAACATTTACAATGGGATTATGATAACTAAAGTAAGAGTTCTATTTTGTTAATATTTCTTGCAAAAACGACATCAATAGTAGTTCCTCCTTTGCTTGTTAGGTCATTTGTTACTTGATCTATTATAACCCCAGTACTAACCCAGTAGATGTTAGTTGGTCTACTACTGTTGATTGATGAGTCGTAGTAAATCCCCCTGTCGAAGTTGCTGGACGTACAGCTAGCGAATCATTGAGCATTTTGTTACGTTTGGCTTTTAGTCGTGCTCGGTACTCTCTCTGGTATTCCGCGTTTGTTTTCCTCGTCCTCCTAAAAGAATTATCATTCGTAGAAGGATCACTTATTCTATACAATAACTCTTTTTCCATCTCCGCTCGTTTCCGTGCTCTGTAATCACGGTAGTATTGTGCAGTTTTCCGTCGTGGACCTCTTAAATCAGTGGAAGTAATTGTGGTTGCCTCATCGTCACGCCCTGAAAAATATAATTGTATTAATAATGTATGTGAATGCGTTATAATGCCATTTCAAAAAAGAAAACCTAACAATCAATTGATATTCACAAGAGACGTACCTTGACATAAACTTAAATCCATCGCATTGTCCAAGGAATTGTTTCGCCCTTTTTTTTTAAATATCCAGTAAATTATTGCCCTATTAACTTACATGTGTATCAAATCAAATTAAAAAATAAAGAAAAATTTATAAATAAATGAATATAGAACAACAAGCATTCTCTGCATAGCAAGAATACCGTGCGATTGTGCTTGGAATCAACGCATTTACTTTCTTCTAAAAAAACTGCTCAAAAAACGTTTGTGTATCTTTATTTCTGTTTTCTTCTTGCATTGAAATAATGAACACTATTCTTTGACCTGTGACAGGTAAAGTCATGTCACATGCCACGTTTTTCCCCTCGCTGGGTTTTTTTATCCCACCTACCCCCAGGACACATGAAAGTTTAGCACAACGGCGCTTTTATACCCCTCCATGGTAGCATTAAACGTTTAACGCAACATTTTTGCAAGTGGTATAAGAAGTTTCACTCCAATAAACGATTATGAAGAGTGTAATCAAAACAGATCTATTACTAAAAAAATCTTATTTATGTTATATTTTTAATGAATATGAAAAATGTAGATTATTAACTTTAACATAAAAATTACTTTTTTTATTTTCAATGAACATTGTGGATAATATAACATATATAGAATTATACATATAAACAAAACATTTGTCGACTCAAAACGGTTTCGATATTTCAAAAAATAAATATGCCATTTTAAATCGAGGTGTCTCACTGAAAATTTATAAAAATTCTATCCCGAATAATCAAAAATATAAAAATATAAATCTGTAAAAACATGTACAGTTCTGGTTTCACTAGTTTCACTATTAACTTAAGTTTTTGCTACGTATTATCGAAATATCTTTCTTTATTGGATGGAGACCATTTCTGACAACTTTATCGTTGTTTTAATTTTTTTTTTTCATTTCCTTGGTTGATTGGTCGTCTTCAATAAAATCAAACTCTTATTTTTCGGATTAAACCACGCGTGTTTATTATTGTAAAAAACTGCATACTCCTGACGTTTTGGTTACTTTTCAACAACCGCGAACATGCACAGTATAATCCGACAAAATATATTAGTTTCATTACAGTTAATACTTGAAAAAGACTTAGATGTCATAACGGATCTATTAATTTTTATCTTTTTCAGTTTCATTTTACTTCCAATTTTTAATTATGGGAAAATTGAGAACCATTTTTTTACTAAATAAAAATTATGATTCAGTTTAGTAAAAAATATAACACAAGTAAAGTTTTTCATCAAAATTCTTCTTTATATACATAGTCGAGAATGTTTTTTTATTTTCAGAATATACTTGTAAAACTATCAAATTTTCCTTTAGGATGAAATAGGCAGAGTTTTAGACTTCAATTTAAAAATCCAATCGCAATTTTAAATACATACCTAAAATAAATGATAAAATGATCAAAATTAAGATTTAATTAAGCTTTGTGGATTGTGGATTTTTTTATGTATATAAGTTGTTTAAATAGATTAATCAAAATGTAAACACATACTTATAAAGTAAATCGCATAATAAAACCAAAAGAAACATATAAAAAGATTTAGATTGACAGCAAGGATGGTAGATGAACAAAAAAAATCGTAATTAGGTAAGCAAAATTTAATTCATATACATAGCAGTATATAATAAAATAAAAAAGTAGATACAAACGATAGTCGAAAATAACATGTCTAATAAAAAAAATGCATTCTAATGAATGAATATATAATAGGGGCTCATATTTTATTATCTAAAAATATCACCAAATTACGTATCGCATCAATATATCACCAAGCCTATGACGTCTAAATAACACAGCTCTTCCAATTATTTACATAAAATTTTAGAGATCATTAAAAATAATAGTTATACATTCATCTTAATTAATTAACATACAATATAATAGTGTTGCTATAAATTTAAAAACTATTACGTAATGTTATAACGCACCATGTTTGAAACATTTAGATTTAGGTCGTGTGGCTTTAGATCGTTAAGGATAACTTAAAATGTTTAAAAATTATATCTATGTAATACTAATGATCCTTTTTATCGTCACCAGGTCGAAGCCAGAGGTCCGTTTTGGGGAGGATTCTGGGGAAATTTAAGGAGTGAAAAGCTAAGGAGGCTCTCGGTGAAGGGGTAGAGGGTATAGCTGAGGTTACTGTAGGGAAATTGAGGGTTTGAGATCTGGGTCGCAGTTGAACGAAGGCACCGTTACCACATCTTGCATGCGATGGTGGTGCGTGATTGTGAGAGTCTCCAGACGCCACTAGTTTGCCTGATATAAGACGGACCCTTGCTCTACAGCCCATGTGTTTAGAGGAACAGTAGAAGAACCTCCCACCAACTTGAGAATACGTAAAACCCTTCAATACCAGGATGTACTTTCCCTTCTCCGTCGGAATAAACTGTACATCTGAAATTTTAAATTGATTATAGTAATGATGTGTTAAGAGCATGAAATAAATTTAAGCATAATCAGTATAACCACGGTTCTAAATACAATTAATATAATTGAATATGGGTGGTGACGTATAAATGAAAATTCAATTTTTCTTTCAAAAACTATTTTCATTTTTACGTAAACATAGATATTGATTTAAACTTAATCTTAAAATCTAAGAAATTGTACTAAATAATACAAAATTTAATATGTATGTACATATTGTGTTTGATTTAATTATAAGTTGTCTTCCACTTATGCAGTTAAGTGTTATAGCCTATAGGATGTAAAAAGCCAGCACAATTTGGAGTTAATGGCTAAAAGAAGGTCACTGATATTATAAATTTGGGGGTAATAATACCTAAAAGAAATTGAGATGAGCTGACTTCATTGAACTCAGCATCATGAGACAGAATAAAAGTGTAACCGAACTTGTTTTGTTAAAAAATAATCTAATTATTTTGAATGACTTTTTAATGATATCTTATAGAAAGAAGCTTCATATTTTCTAATAAAGATATTATTGTATTGTTATTAAAATATACTATAAAATCTTTTATAAAAAATATTATACCGATGGCTTGGTAGTATAATCCATCTCGGTAAAGGATATGTCAAAATCTTAGTACTACTAATAAAAATATCAAGATAATACTAATGATTATTTATTATTTTAATGATAAAATTACAAAAAAAATCAAATCATTACCAAGCAATTCATTAATATTAAAAACTATTTTAATTAAATGCAATTTACTACAATTATATAGGTATAATTAGCTTATTTCTAGAAACAATATATCTGTCGACATCTAATAAATACTTTTACCATTATTTAACCATAAATTCAACACAGTGAAAAGTGCACGTCACAAAAAGCAAAAAGGGTCATGAAATAAACTTATACTAAGCTTATACTTATACTATTCGTATAACTATGTATTACAGCTTAATATAGTTGCCATTATTAACGATATATCTTGGTGGTGGGTGAGTGTGGTCAGTACACACTTTAGTGATGGTACCGTCTTCAGAACGACGGATCCTGGCCGAACAACCCTGAGCCTTAGATGAACAGAACCAGTGATTGCTGTAATTGATCTGCGAATAAGTATATCCATCCAGCATTAGAAGATATTTCTTTCCACTCCTCGTTGGAATCATTATCGCTTCGCTCTCTGTAAATAAATCAAATGGTCACTAAAATAATAAAAATTTATTATATAAAAATCTATTTTATAATATCTTTAAAAAAAAATAACGTTTACGTAACATGTAAGTAAAAAATTCGCGAACTTATGGCAGGTCTGTACAAAATAAAATTCCTTACAATTCTTGTACTTTAATATATGCATTTCTTAAAACTATAGGTTTATAATAATGTAAAAATAATATGTAGTATAAATAATATTTAATTTCAATTATATAAGTACAGGAAAATAAAAATATCTAAACTAAATTAGTGATTGTTGAAAAAGCGACGTCACACGTATTTTCATACACATATAGTACGAAGTAACATATTAAATGAATTTATATTAAAATATTCAGTTTATTGCTTGTTAAGGCTTTGAATTTTAAATTCAAACGATCATAGTACCACTTTCCGCTGCTATTGTAATTTGAGTTGAAGAAATTTTTATGACCTTTTGACAAGCAAACTCATTAATAACAGTACTGAATCTGAGAATATTACATATTAGCTTCCTATTCAAATTGACAAGGAACTCTTTACCAATTAGTGTTGGTATAAAGACAGCTTTAAAACTGTTAAAACGACTTTTGTTAAGTTAAACCGTAAATTAAAACTGAGGAAAAAAAATTATTAGCTACTTTATAGTTTCAAGCCCTTAAATATACCCCAAGAACATAATCATTATTCACATTACCTAAAGTTTATTTTAACTTATTATCTACAAATTCAGTATATAATATTTCTATAGCATATGCTTAAAAGGCCCGTTTTATCAGCGACTAGGAACATAATATTTTGTATATCTAAAATATATGGAAGCACTTATAAGACACTTATTTATAACTTAATATTAAGTTGTACGAATGCTTACCAATACTAATACTTACAGTTAATGGCATTTTTGTAATGTTAAGGACCTTTTACTTAAAGAATCTATTTAATTGTATAATAAATTAAATACTTAGAGGCACAAGCTATTTGTCTTCAAAGCTTTTAAGCGAACATATACTACGTAAGTAAATTATTATCTTGACAATAATTTAATTTAATAAGTATAATAACAAAACAAAATCTACTTTTTTTAAGTACTTTTGAAGTTAAAAATGAATCACCCAATTTTTAATTCGCGTCCAGTTATAGAAGATAGATAGTTCACATAGTTACTTTATAAGTTATATAAATTTTATATGTCAATGTTCCAATTAAACATCTCTCTCAAATCTTTGGTAGAACTTAAAAATACTGAAAAACGACCAATATTAACTCACAACCGTGTAGAATTGACTAACTAAAAATCAATACTAATTCATAGCAATAATAGGCAATTATTTAAAAAAAATTTAACAAATATTTTATATGCTAATTATATATAGGTATGTATATAAGTTAATATTATTTAAAAACTGCATTATATAATAAACCTCAAAATAACTTTACAAATATATACGTCTATTTTTGGTTTACATTTTGTTTTTCAACTCTACGTATCAATTGGGTCCAGCAACTGCGTTCAAATCTAGACAAATTAAAGGTTAAATTTTCAACCAAATACTCAATACAGTATTTTTTAAAATTTCTTGATAATCTTGATAATGCTTATAAGAATTTTGTTAATATATTTTTCATTTAATCATTCGAACATTGATGTAGAGCTATCTCCAAATCATAGAACGAAAATTGTCGATCCTTCAGTCCATTAAACTCGATGATACGAAAACCATCTGAAAGAATATTTACGAAAGTATATTAAACTACTACATGAAATATTACAATTATTAAATTTGAGGATGAAGTAAAATTGTACTTAATGTTTCTCATTTAATATATTTCGCTTTTTTTGCATTAAATACAACATAACTATAGATTATGATTGAAATACTTTATATACAAATAACAGTACATATTATTTATTAACATTAAATATCTATATATAAAAATATTTTTTATATATAACTCTTACATATTAAATATTTACTAATTGGTCCGTTTCTTATCTTATTGGAAGATTAAATTATCGAGATTTTTTAATAGGTTTTCAGTAAAAATTAAGTTACTAATGTATTATAATATAAAATTTTAATCGCGTATTTATTAACGATCAACAAACTTTAAATACGTTAATTTTGAAAACTCATCTTTAAAAGAATTTTAATTTATCTAAAATCATTGGGATTTTGACAAACAAAATTTTTATGTATTGCTTTTCTCGTACGCTTCTAAATTAATATTTCTTACATATATTTCTTTGTATCAAAAATAATTTATTTTAAAATCATTGCTTTTTTAATTGATATGATACTTACTAAAAGGTTTTCAATCGATTAGTCTCAAATTCTTTTGTTTTATTTAACGTCTTAACACCTTATTGTCGATCAATCTGGAATACAATAGCCTTACCACAAGTTTGCACAAAAAACTACTTACGAAGACGTTAAAGTTATTCACTCAAATATTATTTAACTGGGAACTATCCGTGTATAAGTAAATGCAAACTTGTAGTAATACTACAGGCAGAAGGTAACTGTGAACACTTAAATTATGGTCAAAGATTTAAATGAAACTAATATTTCGCGGATATACTACACGACTTAATTTTAATCAAAAACTACAGACTCCGGACGTTTCGGCTACTTTTCAGCAACCGTGATCACGGGCTGACGAGATATGGGCAGCTTTTCACAAAAATAAACCGCGTAGTATATCCGAAATATATTAGTTTTATTTAAATTAATAAAACTCGAAAAAATAAGATCTCATTATGGTAAAAGATTATATAAAAAACATTAGTTTGAAATATAATATCCACTTATAACTGTGAATATAAGAAATGGCACTATTGTTTATCATTTCGAAATCTCATTTTTTTATTTTTATGTTATAGAAACAATAATAATTTCTATTAGCTACATTTTGGGTATAAAAATATTTGATTATTTCCCTACGTTTCGCACTTTTTCATGCAACTTAAACTAAAGTCAATTAAGACAATTTGTGCCCTATACGTCATAATAATAAGTATAAGTATTTTATACAAATGGTTATAAACTATACATTTTTTTTTATAAAAAATTATACAAATAATAATTAACTTTACATATTGTTGTTAATTTTATAAATTAATATAATTTAATATTTACGTTGCTATTTTCTAAATATAAAAAATCTCAGTCGTAAGTACTTACATGTGGTTAATGTATCAAAATATAACTGTTTAATGATAAATTATATACAAGTTAATATTCTTGTACTGATTATTATAGTATATGATATAAAAAACATAATTCTATAATTGCTTTTAAATATAAATTCGTTTTCTCGTTTCAGCGTAGTTAATAAAAATGAAATGCAACGAAGTATATGTATTAAACGTGGGTACAATATTATTATTATCCATGGATTGTATCCATTACAACAATCGCTAGCTATGATTGTGGAAGCCATAGCTCTTCACCAACACTCCGTCAACTGTTGTTAGACTGGCTATACACTGTCTCCGTCTCTTTCTGCCGCACACCCATCTCGTACGTTCCCCTCTCGTTCTCTCCCTAATGAAGTTAACTCCGTTGTAAACTATCATCGGGTTCCCGCGTCGCGATATGACGTAACGGGCATCTGAAAAACACATTCTCGATGTTTCATTGTTTGCTTATACGTTAAAATTAGTTAACCGATATATGTTTAAAAATATATGAACACGTGGATTTTGTATTTATTTTTAATACAATATTAATATCCTGGAAACTGTTGCTGAACAGCGGAGTTGGTAGATTCTCTTCTTCCTGGCAATTTCCCAGCTTTAGCATACATATATACATTTTTTTTAAAGTAATTAACTAACAACTTTAGTCTGACACAGATTTCTTTAAAAATATAATAATTTTCTTGAATACTATGGACAATAATAAGAAAAAATTTTTTTTTTTTAAGTTCGGCATAAAAAATATATAAATAGTATGAATTAAATGTGTTTAATGTAAATATTACATTACAAGTGTTATTTATTATTCTTATACATTTTCCTAATATATATTAATTATTATTAATCATAAAGAAATGTCTGTTCATCAGTAAATTGTAGTATATTTTATTTGAAACCAGCAATTTAGTTTTCCTGAAAATTAAATATATCCAAGGTGTCTCGTAGCTCGCAGTTTTCATTCAAATTCTTCTAATTTTGTTAGAGTTTTTCTTTTATCATATATTTGTAATAAACAATAATTGGTAACTAATGTCGTATGTATTACTAGCGCCATCTACTGCTGGGAGGACGTAACGTTTCTCACGCCTACGACTCCAGACACAATAATAATTTTTATTGTTTTCTTTGAGGGCGCTGTCATCAATCTGTCTCCATGATTTACAATTAATAATAACACTTATATTCTTTAGCTATAATCATATAAATAATAAATATTTGCAGTTATCACACCTAGTCTTTAGAATACCAAAACTTGAGAAAACTTAAGGTACATTTTTTTCTTTAACAAAATGTCTTACGTATATTAAGAGAAATTATGAACTTTGGTTAAATTTCTGTTCAGATTTTCTTTACGAGGTATACTTATATGTATATTTGTTATAAATTTTAATAACTGTTCTTTGAATTTGATCAAAATCTAGTCTCAAGTAGTATGTAACGGAAAACTTAATGTGAACGCGCTTCAAACAAGCTAATAACTCGGCTCCATTCTCACGGAACGGTGGCCACGTCTTACGTATTTGAATATTTTTTTTTTCTGACTACATTAAAATATTAAGATATAAGCACTATCTGACAATGATGGATGTAGAGAAATCTAGATCGTAATCGAGATAAAATATAGTTCAAATTCAATTGCACTTTGGATTTAATATTTGACGAGTATCAAAATCAATGGCATTTGTAATTCAACCAAAAATACCTAATATTGTTCCAGAATTTATATATTATGTGTTCGTTGCTTCTCCTTTAATTCTTAATTCGCTTTTAAAATTGAATTCTATAAATATTCATATAAAATTTGACCCACTATAAAATAATGAATAAAGCGTTTCCATTACTCTTAATTATTACTCAAATGATTATTATGTTAATGTATGTATTTATGAATAAGGAGATTTAAAGTAGATATCTTTACTGCTGTTATATTATAATTGCTATCGGACAATTATTTAAATTATAAATTTAAATACTTTAATAAATATGTTTGTTTTATTTATTATTAAATTATTTTGTACTTGTATAAAATTTTCTGTTGAAGTATGTTGCGAAAGCATGAAATTTTAAATATTTACTTAAAATGTTATATTCCTAATAAAATTAGATAATTGTAAGTTTAAATGAAAAACCTTTATAATAATATATAATATCAAAACTTAACGGGTCTCACCAATTATAAAATTCAAATCCGATCTAACATATGTAGGTGCTGTCAATAAATAAGTTCAATAAAATTACTCTTCTTTTAAACCAGTTACCATCAAAACCTTGTGAAACCGCATTCCCTTTACTAATACTACGTTTACGTCAGGTATTCATTTTTTTTTATTGAAATAACGAAGTATGGGCTAGACAAAAGATCTTCTACAATATAATATAAGGTTAATAATATAACCGTATTTAAAAGTAGTGTTCAGACGAGGGATAGAAAACGTCTACCTGCCTTTAGTACATCGAACACAATGTAATCGGTCAGGAAGATTTTAAATAGAAATGCATTAAAATACTGTAAGGTCTAGACGACTTTTTTTAGTTCTCAGAACAAGCAGGTAGTGGAACACCCTAGCCACGCCCGGGCTGGTGCCATTCAAAACTGTTTGAGTTCAAAACATGTATGTATTATAATAAAGAATACAATTTGGCACATGATCACCTACAAAAAAAATATTGACTAAAATCATACAACACATGTATACTCTTCATGAATTATAAAATAATATTTGTACTCCACATTAAATTCACAATTAATATCAGCTTCATTCATAAAACACAGAAACTGTTTTAAAATTAATCATAAATAATATTAAATATTATAAAAGACTAGAATATTTTTTTTGTATATATCAAACGAGGAATGTGTCCGCGACGCGTCTTAAGTACTAAACGGTTTCGTGTATTAAATAACAGTGACACTGTAAAAAATAAATTATTTGGCCTAAATTTACAGTTTGGAACGACGGAGAATTCGGTTAGTCGGCGAAATATTCGTTAATAGTGGCTGTACTGAAGCCGCTAGATACTTTGGGCGGATGCGTGTGTTCTGGAGGCTGACCCAGGACTCTGTCATACAAGGTCAGGATAGATGCTGGGCAGTTCCTAGACTTCCTGGAGGAGCAGTACCATAAAACACGAGCTTTCTCGCGTTTCTTTCTCGAATTAACGAAGTAAGTGTTCCCTTCGTAGAAAAGCAGTTTCCCGCCTCTCGCTGTATACAGGTATCGAGCCCCACCTTGCAACACAATCACTCGTTAAGACAGTTATCGTCACTCGATACGCAAAAAACAAAAAGAAAATAACAAAAAACATACCTTAAAATATGATTAGATGTCATGTCGTCGGTGGCGTGTTGAGGAAACACTGTCTGTAATCTGTTATGTGTCATTAACGAGAAACGATATATGAATTTATACGAGTGTCCATCACGCCACCGATGACTGAGATGTTTCACATGACCATCCAAAATAATTGAGCGTAACATTTTTGTAATGTTTATTGATTAATATTATATATACCGCTTGGTGTATAACATGATATCCGTACCGTACATAGTGACTCTCAAACATAAGGCATTGCGTGGGAACGTGTTTCATATTCTAGGAATATCGAAGCATATCACATTAGTTCGACTAGGCCGTGACTAGCTTTTAAGTATAACATTAGTACTATCTATGATAATCAGAGCCGCAACTTGAGACGCAGTAGGCAATCGCAGGTGTGCAGCGGCAGGACGGATATGCTGCAAGTTGAGGCATGAACTTTGCTGTTGCTGCGTCGACGCCATACCAACATCGAGCCGCAACCCGCCACTACAATGAAAACCTCGTTACCTAACATACTACAACTACTATTAACTAAACTTAATCATTAATACTACGACTATTTAGTCACGTACATAACGTTTAAACCAAAAGAAACATCCCATTCAAGTTAATACAAAATTTATTTCAATTTAATAACAGATTTAAATTCTATCATTTCGTAAATTAATGTGGACGAGTAAAGTAAGTCCTGTTGTAAACTTGTCAATATTATAAGGCAGGCGGAAGGGAGTTATTGCGTATGTTTTATGGGTGGGATGCTGTTATCGATTACCCCACGAGCTAGTCGCGCATGCCTCGCGCTGGCGATGGGGCTCGTGCTACCCCCATGATACCCCCGTGCCCTCACACTCTAGGGCATATTTTTAATATTATATTCATGGTTACGTTGCGCCAATTCAGATAAAAGAACCGAAACCGATACCAAAAAAAAATATGGGTAATTAGATTAACATACGAAAGAGAGTCGCTAAATACTTTAATAATTATCTATTATATGAAATAGATATACTTTTCATTGGGGATAGATGAGGCATTTCAAATATGCATATTGAAAATTCAATGCACTATTATATTTAAAAAGAAAGTCCCAGTAGTCGCACGTCCATATGATCGTTGTAGGGGAATAAAACACAAAACATCCAACCCATAGTCATCTGAAACATAATAAATCGTAGGAGGTCGCTCGTTTTCCTCATAGCGCACGCACACAACGCCATCTGAAGGGATGTATATCAAAATTAGGGCATACAGGGTGTAACTAGGCTGTAGGAGACAGAGCACCCCTACACCCATACAACCGGCTTGCCGAACTTTCTTTCATAACTTTGTTGCTCGTATTGATCCATCAACTGCGCAATTCATACTGATATTACAACAGATCGGGAAAACTACTTCAAAGTGTACCGCGACCTCCCAATCTGTATCCTATGACGATTCATGCTCCCTACGACTGCGGTCTAGTAGGGGGATATCACGAACTATGATTTGTTATACTTTGTTTGTATATTAACGAGATATGAAATATTTATCTTCACGAAAAGCATTTCATAAAAGGAGTATTTTTATCTGACCTCATTATATTAAAAATTAGGTCGATTCCCGGGTTTCATAACTTTCCTGTTCTTTCTATTGTAAAGTAAATTAACGAATGAAACATTTAGCTGAAGATTAGAAATATATATATGTATATATTTTTTTTTGAAGAAACGGTCATAGATAAATTAAAAACATATATTTTTTTACAATATTTAATCAATTGTATCTAACGTTAACAAATTTATTAATAAAATTAATTTTCATTTCTGTTGAAATAAATTCCGTTATATTTCTAGTTAAGATCAAGGCTCCTTATTTTTTTGTACATTTTCATTTAATAGTACTTATCACTAATTAACATAAATCAACTCAAACTAAATTTCAACCATTCGCTTTATGTAGATTGATAAAAAAAATAACTTTAAAAAAGTTTTTTTTCGCTCATTCATGAGTACCAAAGAGAATTTAAGTTTGAAAAAAAATTATATACAATATAAGTCCACTTCACATCGGACTTTGTCCGCGTTTGAATTAATACATTCAATAAAAAAAATATATGTAAAAATGAAATATTAATGATATTAGTCTTTACTTAATTAATATATGACGTCTTGTTTATACATTTATAATTGTACTCTTGATTTCAAAAATTAAGTACGATTTGATTAAACAAACAAAGAAAAATCTAAAAAAAATCAAGATAAAAATCCAAAAAAAAAAGTTTAAAAAAATCATTGAAACGTATGTAAAAAATAATGATAATAAAAAAAAATATACTGCATTCGGTGAACAAGACGTTAGCATTAATAAAAAACAATATCGCTACCTGTATCTATGATAGGCGTCTTTACGTCTTACATACTTGCCGTCTGGAGTGAAGTAATAGCTTGGTGGTGCATGAATATGTCTTCCACGGACCAGGAACAGTATATCACCATTTCCGGATCGAGCGGGGGCGGTTATGACGTCAGCACGGCAGCCGGCCATGTCGCGTGACGAACAATACCACTGCTTCCTGCCGTTAGCTTGTAAATTCTTCAAGTAGAACGTATACCCGTCGTGGAGCAGCAGAGACTTGCCGGTCCTCGATGGCACGTACACAGCCGGCGCAGATTCTGAACCCATCGGACAATATCAGCAAAGGATTTCAAAAAACATCACCTAACTCAATACTACTGTATAGAGATTTATAAATATTACACAAACAAAATAATTTCTATATTTATATTCATAACTTACAATAAAATACATTTATAAAAAATACAATAATTTACAAAATTCGAAAATGAATAAATTTGCTTCATCATTTATTTGCGTAAAATAAAACAACTGAAGATAGAAAATCAGTGAACACTATCTGGTAGGTTCTAGAAAGTTCTTTAAACTTCTACGTGCTAACTTCTATGTAGCCTTAAAATTCATGGTTGTGAGTATTTTCCACAACCACAACCTCCCCTTTATATGTTCGTACGATAGCGGGACATTGGTACTTATTCCTGGCGCCGCAGTACCACAACATTTTCGGTTGGTTCCTATATGCGTTATGGGGACGGAAATAGTATCCATTCAACATCATCTTGGGATAACCTCTCTCGTTATATATTATTTGTGCTGTAACATGCATACAATGTTATATAGAAATAATTAAATATTATATGTTACACCAATGGAACACCTACCTTATAAATACATTTAAAAAAAACGTTAATTATAAAAATATTTTTTAAGGCACGGTTTATTCAAATCGGTACAAATAACATTATAATGTTTACAATTTAAGTTTAAACACCTATTGTGACGTATTTTTATACAAAAACTATGAATATATTATAATTTTTTGCATGAAAATCACATAAATTTATACGTAAGAAACAAACATTAATGTGATCACAGTCTTAGAGTAACAACATACAAAAAAAACAGTTTAACTAACATATAATTAAAACTAACTAAGGAAAAAAGTAGGTCGTAGTATAATTACAACGACGGGAATATTGTTTCTAGTTTAGTAATAATATAAAATAAACAATTAGATGAACGAACTGTAGCTTGATCTAATATTATATAAAAACTAAAGTCACAGCTTTTAAAGTACTTATAATTTACTAATATTATATACAAATTGTAGAAACAATAATCCTTACATTTAGATGCACAAAGAAATAACCTTGTATCAAAAATTACGAACTAAAGATTCACATCCCATTACTTACAATGATCTTATGTAGTTAATAAAATAAGTTATATTAATTCCCACTACAAAAGAATTAATACCTTGATGTAAATAGAACTTATCACTATGATATTAAAACAAAATGCTTCAAATTCATTTATACCTTATAAATACATCCATAAAACGGCGGGAAGTAAGTACTTCAATTGAGCAGATTTTTCGTTTATAAGACACGTGTAAAGTTATAAAATTACAAACCTGCAAACTAATTTAGAATGAGCACTTTCGGTGGGATACATTCTAAATGTACATGAAGCTCTAATTTATACTCACTTATAAAATTATATTGACAGTTAATCGATATCAATATGACCAATATAACTTGATACTTATCATCCTAATAGTAAGACCTGGTGTCAGATCGTATTGTTCTGGTGCCTGCACCGATGTCTCAATTCCGAGAAAACCAAACGTTTACCACTAGTATGTATCCTCGCCGCACAACCTCTCGCACAAATCCAGCGTCGCTTGTTTCGATAACAGGAATCCAATTTATACCAATAACCACCCATCTTCAACAGCTGATCGTCGTAATTCCTTTGAAGAGCTAAAGAAAACCGGTAGAAAACATTATAAATAAGAAAAAAGCAATACGATCAGAATTAAAATGAGTCGTAAATAAATAAAAAAAACTCATGGAATATAATCATTTATGAATATAAACATATATTATATAAAAGTTCTATTATATCTACAGTTGAATCTTACAAACCGCTATGCTTGTAAAGTTAATCAAAAATTTTGATCATGAAATCTTTGGTATGCAGTTATACTACAGAAACCGGATAACTCGTAATACAAAATCACTATAACTAACCAACTAGTATCTACAGGTAGATGGTGTTCTATAAAACTTCTACAATATTATATTTCAATTTTAAACATCCGTCTGTATAAGAATCTATTATAAAAACTATCGCTTGTTACATCTCGTAAGCTCTACGCTACACTAGACTAGTTTAAATACAAAATCATTAATATTGGAGTATTCCATAACATTCCTATCAGTCCTTCCGCATTCTACGCAGCGGTTAATAAATAGATTTTTTTATATATAAAAAAAGCATCAACAAGACGGCTACACTATCATTAAAGCTTAAACACTTTGTATACATAACATCTAAATATTTTGGTAATAGAATATTGCACATCGCGTTATATTAATATATGTATTCAATATAGTTTCCTTATATGAGTACGTTAAAGTACATAGCCGCTAAGGCATTGGTCCGAGGCGACCGCGGGGCGACTAGATGTCTAACACTATAACTTCTATACGATCCAATTAAGCATTGTATATAGGCCACGATAATTGATGATACAAAAATAAACAAATAAGAATACATTGGTAACTGTGGCATAAATCTACTTAGGCAGTCTTTTAAGATTAGGTATTTGGTAAACAAATAGAAAAGTATTTAACGAACAACATAAAGATATTAGTATAACGATAGACTCGTATAGGATCTCAATAGCGACTCTCCGAATTCGCATTATTGTCTTCTATCAAGAAGACCGCGAACAAGGAGGTCGCGCCAGGCCTAGAGGAGGATGGCCGCATGAGGTGGTGGAGGCAGGGGCTGGGCAGGAGCAGCGACCACTGTCCTTGGGGCACAGCTCTCAACTATCTTATACTTTCCCATAGGATCCACCTCGAACCTCCTAGACTCGTGTTTAGCTGGGTTATAAGTCGCGGGATGATTGTGCGCCCCTCGGAAATAAACCAGTCGTCCGTCTCTCAGACACAACGCTACTTGGCACCTCTCAGCCTTCTGGTATGACCTGGCACATCTCCAGGTTACTCGACGTGGGTGTGAACCACCGTCTTCATAAAAAATGTGGCCATCAGCTACCAAGTGCAGCCCCCCGCGCGCTGAACGTATATAAAACCAGCCTGGAACAAGTCAGCATTTATACTATTTGATGTTAATACCTCTATATTTTATTATAGCTAGCATAATATATTATAATTAATAAATATATGTACCTTATATTTCATTAACACAACACTCTCACGTTATAAGCTCTTTCTAGCAAAGCACGCGTAACTTTTAGAAAAATCTAGAGGGCTTGTATCGAAACGTATTAAAGAATATCTAGATGGTTTATTAAGAATTAAATATTTTATTGAAATCGAATTTATTCTTTTTTATTAAAAAAACAACCAGAAAACATTCTAACGTTTTGCTAGACATAATATTTTTTAATTTTAAACTCCTACATAGAGGTAACCTGTATCGTAATAAAACTCGTTTAATGACAGCAGTTCAATATAATATCGTTTCTTTGTACGTACGTATACAGAGAGAACATTTCTCACTACCAGTATCCACTACACTCTCCGCTGGCGACACTCGCCCGCTAACATTATCCATAAACACTTTCCACTAAAATAATATAAAACATCTTATCACATACAAAATAATACTTCAAGAATAATACTCCAAAGGTTAACTTAAACATATGTCGTATACATAATGGTAGAACTAATATCTTCGTATATCTGTTACATGGTTAACATTGTGCGGTATAAAATCTATTGTATCCAAAAATAAATCTTTGTGTAAGTACAGCCAAGGCTATAACGTCGAATATTTCATAAAAACATGGTATTTAAGTACTAACTAAAAGCAATAATATATAAAAAAAAATAATCTTAATAAATGTAAAAAAAAATAATAATAATAATAAAACATCTCACTTGAATAAAATAAAAACAAAAAGCTTAATCTTAAACGTATACATTGAGTATTATAATTAAGTAATTTCAATAAATGCAGCTTCCTATCTTAACAAGTTGTTACATTAACTTACTAACATCGTATACATGTCATGACTCGATATTAACAACCATTCGATACATCAAACTCACTACTGATCGCGAACCAAAACCAAACGGGATACTTTTCAACAATCTTTCTGTATTTACATTACGCGAATAAAATTGTAAAAAAATATGTAAAAGTAATATATAAAAATACTTATATCATAAGAGAACTATCACTTTGTACAACGAACTACATCTAGGAGGGTCGCACGGAAGATCTAGACTGACGCAGGCAAGAAATATCTTCTAGCTTAACGATCTCACTAAAAAATATTCTCTGTATAAATGTATTGTGATAAAGACTGTAAAAAAATACTGGCCTCCAATATTCTGTCACTGATATAATTATTTCTTATTATGCAATCCTAAAACTCTTAGATAAATACTACATTTGAGATAGGACGTTTTTATAAACGTTGCCTTAGTACAGCCTTAAAAAATATTCTGCAAAACAGTATATCGTGTCCGCTGTCCTATATATGTAGACTATATAAAGTCCGAGCGGAGATTGTCCAGCACTTACTGACACAATAAAGATCAATTACAAACAATAGTACCGTTCAAGATAACAGTAATCAGCTCGGAAACTATTTACGAAGACTCGGATCTATGTTAATATGTAATATCACTAGATTCGTATACTTTACACAGACCATGTCCATCAACAAGAGACGGTACATGTCTGTAATCTCTTTGGAGATTCAATAGATGCAAACTAACGCTTGCATGAATTAAACGAATAAAAAAAAGCGTTTAACAACCGTCGGCACAAAGGCACAAACATTATTTGTAACATTCCATTCGAATAAAAATTTTCGAGCCAACTGATACAGCGACATTCTACATCCGACAGACGATACCGAAAAAATAAAATAGCTCCATTGAGATCTCTGACTGTGCCAACACAATTTAGCTGCCGACGATTGATTTAATTTTGAACGAATAATGATTTGAGACTCGATGTTTTGGAGATAGAGAGAGAGCTTTAAAACATGGGTCGGAGAGGAGTAGCTCGAACACCGCAAGTGTGAGCGCTGTTCATTTGGACGACCCTCAGTCCGAAGGTGTGTACGGCGGCGCGACACCGCGGGTTCCTGGAACAACGCCACCAAACTTTCCCACTCGCAGCTCGACCGTTGAAGCAGAAACGATGAGCGCCCACTTCGATAGCTGGTTTCCCTCGCTTGCTGAGGCAGTACCGGAACTGTCCCGGGAAGCAGGGGAAAGGGAATGGCAAGCCCAGTGTAGGCGGAGCATCTGCTGGTAAACCTGTGCCTGCAACTAAAACCCTTGAAGTTAGTACCTGTCGTGGGAAGAAAACTTATTACATAAACCTATTTTAATGAATTAATTAGTTGATTATCTTTATAAAATAAAATATTCAGGTACGAGTATATTAGAAATAGTTTTATTTACGGTATCTGAAACGTTTCTTTCTATGTATTTAATACTTCCGTTAATCAAACGCAAATTTGTGGTATATTTGTAAATTTTATTCTCAAAAACACTCGATGACTTAGTTAAAAATGAACACGTATATACAAAAGTAATTCGCTCACAGACATTCATTTGGTCTATGGGAATGTTGAAGTATCTTAGTTTTCTTATTTTTTTATTCAGCAGCACGCCTTCTTCTTTTTCCTTCTGACTAGTTTCGTGTTGTGGTAGGTGTGCGGGTATCCAACCATCACTAAACGATTATTCTGTGTTATAGCGTACGACCTACACCCGTGGTCGGACTTGATACATTTCCACATTCCCCTCCCGTAAATAATTCTTCCAACACGACGATACCTCGCGCCAGTCACCACCAAAACAGGGTTGCCAAAACGGGAAACACTCCATTCAACTGAAATTTGAAAAAACTACCATTCCACTAGCATCAGCCTTATACTTCCAATATAAAATTCAGTCGTAGTTCAAGGACAATGAAATAGGCTAATTTATTAAATTTAAAACCAATTAATGAATAAGAATATTTTTTAAACACTAAGCTTCTAGAGGATACACAAATAAAAATTCAAAATAAAAATCATAATACAAATATTGAAAAAATATTTTATTTCATATAACACAAAAATACTGGTGGATTTAATACATAATTTCTTGTGTAGATTATATATGTATAATGTATATACTTAGTAATGATGATTCATAAACTTCGATTGAATAATTTCATAATATAAATGAGAATCACAAATCAAGGCCATTAACGCTAAGCGATAAAACTGTTCTTATGATAGTACAGAACTACAAACCCAACTATGACAATCTAATTATAAGTCACTGACACATTCATAACATATTAATAGGCGATCGAGATTAGAGATCCGTATTTTGGTACGTAAATAATTTTCATATAATAACTTCAATAGTAAAATGTCTTTTGATTTATCACTAAGAAAATATGTCATCATAATTTTCAACACGTTCATATTTTTATTCTATTCAAACATTCAATGTGAGATCTAAACGGAATGCTACAGCTACTATTAAAACAATGGAAAAATGTAGACACAAAATCATTTTGGTAATCATGAACTCTCGAGTTCTACATAGATATTAATCTAAACACACTAAAAACGTTAAACTAACGATACACGAAATTAAATTAAAACACAGTACAGGGGAATGCGACGAACAAGAGAATTAACAGATCTTTCACAGCCGCAAAAGCCACACATTATATATTGTCTCTTATAATAATAAGCTTATTAAGCCTTTGGACACTCTGCTAGGTACTTTTAAGAGGCGTATGCCATTCGTTGACTGGTTTTTCAGTAGTGGAAGCGTCGAAATTGAACGGTGTGAAGTTTGGTTCGTGATTATGACCTCCCTTGATGCGAATAAACCTACCATTCATGGTGGTTTGTACCCTGCACAGGCAGCCTTTAGTGTCCTTGTCACGGCACGCCCAGTTCAATTTATCCCGATACTGATTGTTCACCCAAAACTTATTAGATTGGAATATCAACACCGATTTCCCAGCACGCGACGGCAAGAAGAACGCTTCTGAAAATCATAATGAAATTTAATAACGAATGAAAGAGAACTTAAAACGAGGAGAATAGGAAAAAAAAGAATATTGGTGACATTAAATATATTAATTATCATACAGAGAATTACATGATGAAAATTTTTTTGGTAGATTTGTTGTAAAGGCGAGTTTTTTCGTGATTATGTGTATTATCATATGAGGTGACTTCTCCGTCCTTGTTGGTCCTGGCTTTAGCTTTACACCCAGTATTCTTCCTTCGGGAACACATCCAGTACGTGGGAGGAGACTCATTGAACGAGTATCCATCCAGAACCAAACATTTCTTACCCCTACCCGTCGGTATGTAAACTGCGTTTAACGATCCTTAAAGTAACCAATAAAATTAATATCTAAAGGGGTTTTTTTTTCAAAAGATTTATTACAAGAATATGATTTATTAACTTCGTGGTTTACCACTTACAAAATATATTACTATAAGTTTTATAGACATTAACTTAAATAACATGTCTTTTGAATCAATAATCTTAATGAGATATAGACACTTAAACAATTATTTTGTACGCTTATAATAATATTAATAGGAAGCGAGTTATTTTCAGCTCTTTTCATAGTTTATAAATATATTATTTATGGTCATGTTTATCATAGAATAGAACGACATCGTTGTCTATGGTGTATATATTGGCGCGACAACTGGCGTGATGGGAACAACGCCAGCGCGTCCTTCCGTTCGGGAACTCTCTCTCCTTCTCAAATTCATATCCTCCTGTTATAATCTTCGCCTTCTGCTGTTTCCCACTGAACGTAAACTGGCCGATTTCCTCGCAATCAATTACTAATAAACAAACAATACATTTGAATACAAACTCTATTACAATAGACATAAGTATTGTAATAAAGGTAACAAATAAAATAACATTTAATATAAACATATTTAATATCAGATAAATCTTAATGAGTAATACTCTTAATAAAATCAACGTTTTAAAACTATATTAAAATTTTAATTTTATAATTATTGTCTAATGTAAAGCCAATTTACATATAAGGAATGTTCAGTACAAAGTATATATAATTATATAATAATAATTGACAACGATTCCGTTTTAAGGCACTGTTTATGTTATGTAACTTAAAAAAATATTTTTATAAGTACTTTATATAAAAAATGATACTTTCAGATTCATATGATGTTCCGATCATAATATCACAAGTCGATATACAATCATACTTAGTTCAAACTAACTCAATGATCATTTTAAACTTATATAAATTATAATACTACTATACTATATGTATGCACGTATTCATAGAACTTAGTTCGAACTGTTACACGCTAGATATTCAAAGCACCAGAGTCTAATTAACAATATTAATGGAATGCCATAATTAACTTCGCCCACAACCACAAACTAAATGTCTTAACATGATTTACATGTATTATATAAAGGTGTCCAAATTAAATTGCATAGGAAAACTCGCGGTGATCTATAAATAATAATACTCATATATAGGTATAAACTAACTTCAGAATAATATCTCTAAAATTATTACAACTGATAAGTTAAAATCAAATCCACCTTCAGATTACGTTCAATATATCTTCACGTACAGACAGACAAACGTCTTCATCTTTATTAAACTTATAATGACGAATCAAATAGTCTTTTTATCAATACTAAACTTCATAGTTAATCTAAACACTTAAAACTAGCGTAACTTCAAAAGCTTTAAAATAATGCTTATAATATATAGAGCGATGATGGAAAATATATGAAAAGTAACAAAAGAAATCCAAAAAGGGAATGTATAGAGTAATGTGCGTCATGAAATTGGAAGAATGTTCACATGGAAATGTATGAAGAATTGTATAGTTATATTATATCAGGAGGTTGGAGCACGAGGCGGGTGGTTGTGCATGCCCTTGACGGCAACCACGTTGGTACCTAGCATGTGAATCCGGGCTTTACAGTTAGTCTTCTTGGACGTACAGCGCCATATCACCTTATCCCTCAATTTGGACTCTTCGCAGAACGGGAATGTATTCACCATCATTATCACCTTGCCGCGACGGGACTTCAAATACTTGATGCCTGGGAAAAAACTTTCTGTTTGAATTGTGTCACAAAAACCATATACACCACCACCCCTAATTATCGAGTGACGGGTGAATAATAAATAAAACCAGCGATTATTTATAAGTACAATTTAATATTTCACAAAACATACCCCATACAAGAACCCAAAAAATCTTATTATAATATTGGTAAATACAAAATTACGCTATAAGTTTTGATGTATAAAACAGACGAGGAGGTAGGTGAGTTAGTTGGTATAGAAGGATGGTTTGGGCTTCAAGCCTTCACCCTGGCATCATCACGCTACTTATCCTGAGATTCACAATCAACAACAACGAGAAAAACGTACAGCTAATACAAGATACCGAATAGTTATCAAGTGTTTGAAAGACGATCATCTCCGAATAGAAACATGCAGTTGGTGCCAAAAATTTAATAATCGTGATTAAAATTTAACTTAATTGACGAATATTGTCATAGAATTAAAAAAAATTTAAACACCTCACGATTTGTTCGATGGTTTGATTTACAATTTCGTTATCGCCACGGTCTCATTTTAATATTATATTTGGCGTATATTATAACTCAGGTACAATATAATGTGTCAAAATACCTTTAAATCTCAAGCGATTTGATTATTAAATGACGTAATCATTAAAATTTTGGAGGTAATTACAAACAAGGTTAGTTACAATAACTTTCCTCACAAAGTATGACATGAACTATAATTAATCCTAAAAACATTTTGATCAGCGCATAGTGCACGCTTACATAAAGACCCCGTAGTTAACTAAGTTATCTAAATAACAATTAAAATTAGTCAAAATTTGTACTTATGTCAGAGTCTTAGAGAGTATTAGGTACCGTTAAGCGCCTAATTATTGAAATAATAATTTGAATATCAACAAATTATTTAAAAAAAAATAAAACAATCAATAAAATATATTAAGACAAGAGTCTCAAGCGAGACTGTTATACATAGTACAGTCGTCAACAGCGAATGCCAAGTACAAGTTAAAACTATGTAAAGAGGTAGTTGAGTTACAATAAGAGGTAAGTAGGCCCGCCGGACCCTGCGCAGCGAACCGCCCCGGCGAGCCGGTCTAGTCTAGTCTAGCCTAACTTAGCCTAAACACCTTACTCGAGTAAAGCTTCTGAGTATTCATTCATGTATATAAAATTGTATAATTAAACTAATCTGTAAAACCCGTATAAAAAGTGAAGAGGTAGTTGATTGAGCTTAAGTACTTAAAATCAATCCTAAGGAGCAGAGCGACATCCACAGAAGTCTGTAGTCTGCGAGCCTCGACGAGTGCCGTGCAAAAGCAAGCGTTCACACTCGAAGGTAGGTACTTTGATATCGAACACCTCTGAAATATTACTGCCACTTCTTAAAGATAGCGAGGCGGACGTCTAATTGTCTAAGTAGCAAAATGTGTAACTTGTAAAAGTTAAATCTCTCAAAATTAAATTAATATTTTCTAAATAACAGTCGAGGGATCCTTTATTGCTTCTTTCGTAACAGAGTTCGCGTATCAGTCACCATCTCTTCGTCGTCGGCTCAGTCTGTTGAGCCGTCCGACCATATCAACGCACCCGTTTCGATCGCAACTTGTACCCGTGACCCGTACAACCGTGTTCGAACCTACCCCATGTGCTGATTACTTGCTCCATAGCCCGTGCGGTCCACTTGCTACCCGTCTCTCATGGTGCTGCCCTGATGGATCGAGCCGTCTTTGTAAATTAAACATTCCTATGGGCAGATATCCTGATAATAACCTTCTATTACAACCTGACATTAACAGATGCTCATACCATCCATGGACCTTCAAACGGCTGGTGCCGACTGCTATATATCAAACACGGCGGAATCCAAAACGCACTCTTCGATCACTGAACCAATGATTTGTTCTCCGCCGGTCCTCCACACAGAGACGTGCGCCAACAGTTTAAAGAGCCCTTCCGAAACATTCAGACAGTTCTTAATTACTTATTTAAACATCTTTAACTCTCTACTCGTTTCATAAATAACCCACACCTATACGAATAACATGTTACACCTCAAAGAGACCGCCTAACCTATGACATTACGACAGTGATCCTTCCATTGATGTTCCACGTTCCCATTCCATACAGCACAACATCAAATCATGAGGTTCACATACACATAACCGACGATAGATAAATCCAACAATGCCATCGCTATTACACGCCATCCTATCCCCATATAACCTACGTAATATTAATAATAATAATAATATTAATTCTAAAACATAAATTACGCTATTATAAGAGTTCAAAAGGCTTCCAAAATATCCGCTGATCGATATTTTATCGTCGTTCGACATTATTACAACACTATCAAACCGTGAAGCTCTCGATCGTAAGAGAGCGTTATACCTGTTAGTAGTTCACTGACTTATTATAATCGTATATACTTTAATCTTCTTCATTACAAGGGGTGTCGACGAGGAGCGGTTTGGCCGCGGGGGGGTGTTGTGCGGAGGGGGGGAGGGCGTTGGGGGATGGTTGTTGGCCGCTACCCGTCGCTGCGGAGACAGCAGCTGAGGCGTTGGCCGTGGCCGTGGCGTGAGCGGTAGCAGCGTACAGAGCTAGAGCATGCTGTAGTTGAAGGAGCTGCTGGTGAGGATCTAAAGGAGCGGGGGCGCGGTGACCGCTCTGGTGCGGCGTGCGGACCACGTAGCGACCGTCGGCGAAACGACGCACGTTCGGTGGTGCGTGATTGTGAGCGTAACGCGAGCGAACTATACGCTCGTAACCCTCGGGTCCTTCGGTGTTCACGTCGGCCAGGCAGCGCGATGTGAGCCGAGACGAACAGTACCACTGTTTCCGTCCGTGAGCCAGGTTGTTCTTCAGGCGGAAGGTGTACCCGCGGTGTAACAACAGCCGACCCTTCCCCGCTCGGATAAAACGCGCTGAAACAATAAACAGTGTCAGTAACGGCTCTGAGGATGACAATATTTAATGAGAGCGATCCTAATAATATCAACTGTATTAGGAGCGCTTTCATTAAAATTGTATTTCCTTATAATATGAAACAGTAGAAGCTTATAATAAAATCTTTTAAGGTGATTGAAGGTTTTTTAAATAATTAAACATCATATTCCTGTCGTTTAATTACATTAAAAATTTCCTTAATCTTCATACATATACTTCGCATCGCTTAGTCAAAACATATTTAATAAGTAACTTATACTTAATCACTAGTCTTTGAAGTATATAAAATGAGCAAAAAATGTTTGGCACGACTTACAATTCGAGATAATATAAAAAGAAAATATTTTTAATATAACAGTTTAAAAACAATGGCACTACCTTCAATCTTTTTCATCATTACGTAACAACAGAATAGTAGGAAGCACTATACATAACATGATTGTAAACTTACTTTATATGAGCAATGTCATTAAATCCATTAATATCACTATAATTATCAAATGTTTAATATTTGGCATCAAGAATGTTTTGTGATAAATGAGATCATAATAACTAACTAGACCGACCGTAACTAGCCTTCACTACACACTATCATCTACATACAATTATATACATTGACTAGTTTAAAATTAACTTTTGTGTTTCGACACTACATAATTAATTTGAAAAATTCCACGAAAAAAATTTACTATTTATATAGTTTTCTGTCGATATACATTGAGTCATACAAATATAATAGGCTAGAAGTTTTTATAGATCTAGTATCTCGCTATCCAAGCGTTTGGGTCAAAGTTATCGAAATCTAGATGCGGCATCCTTGGTAGGAGTAAGGGCGTAGGTGGTGATGGAGCTGGTGGTACCACCTTACTTCTCCTTCCACATCGACCTGAATGATTATGCTCCCCGACCAGTTTGTGCAACTTTCCCTTCTGTGTGTAAGCTTTACATCCACAACCCCCCATAGTACACCTCCATCTCACAATACCAGATCTCATCGTGTGCGCTGCGTAGAAACTCCTGCCTTTCACCCACAACCGCGGCCTTCCGCCCGGACCGACACACAGACGTACAAATTCCTCTGAAATCATCATACATCTGTAGAATAAATTACATATAATTATTTCTACCAACAAAAATACCTTACCTACTTAATTATAATAAAACGTTTGTATGCGATATAATAACGTGTAATTGAGATTACTCTATTTATTTGTTGCCGAATGTATTACATTAATATATTAAAAGTTCGATAGCTCACATATTGTTGGTGTCGACTACAATACATAAACCATTTATATTAGTTCACACTACTCTATAGTGATACAAGCTCTTCCACATCTCACGTTCACACAATTGTCCGTATTATTGCTAATTTAATTAAATATATTTTTAAATAACATCATGTATTAAATATATTACAACACGTGAACTACTCTGAGATCATTGCACAACACTACATAATAGATCGATGACTAGACATTGACTAGATTATAATTAAATATACTTTGTGCAAGTAAAACATACTTACAGAATAAATTACACATTTCTATAAACGATAACGGTATAATAGCAAAACGAATGAAACCTTCTCCATGCATAATAAAAGCAACGGATCCATGAATCGCTGACCGTGGTTCATACTAACATCATACGTGTAACAGAGAAACGGCGTCTTAACGAAATTGCGCTACAAGCTTATCGTACACTATATTATGATACTAATCATCTAGTACAGCTTTCGCCTGTGTTGCGATAGCCGCGTGTGTGAACGCCCTATAGTGGGCGGCGAGTGTCGGGGCCAGCACCGGCGGCTCGTGGGAGTGAACGTTACTCAGAGCGAAGATCCTATCGTGTAGCGTGTGAGCGTACGCGCGGCATGTACGACGGGTACAACGCCACCGCACCTTGCTCTTCTCTGGGAACACTTTCTCCGCGTAAAACGAGAACCCGCCGAGACGCATGTGTCGCCGGCCGCGGTTCGATATCACGAATTCAACTGTTGAACATCGCACGTGTCATTATCCATTCATATAACATATAACTACATTGTATTACAATAAATTCGGTTATAAATGAAACAGTTTGAGGTTTAAATCGTTTATTTTTCTAATGTGATGATTTCTATGAGGCTTTCGATTCTTTTCAGTTCAGTCGGTTTGTTTGGTGGATGGTTGTGTTGTAGGTGGTGCGTCACCAGCTGTCCCTCTCTGGTGAGGGCTCGGGCGGTACAGCCGAAGGAATTTCGACTGCGACAGGTCCAGTATACGCGGGAACCTCGACGTTTCCGCGCTACAAATCCGTAGCCACCGACCAGTAGACACGGAGCCCCGCGCTGAGTCACCGAATACCGCACTTCCCAACCGCTCGCACCTGTCGCGTTAAGCATCATAACAAAACCAAAACATTACACAGCAATGTTAGAAATAATACAACATTATTATTATTAAATTACAATTTTATTATGGTATTCGATCACATTCCATATAAGAATACAAGGGTCATCAAGCAATACGGATGCATTCATTATATGAACCTAAACTACATCAGAGTTCATTCCTACGATACAACGAAATAACATTGTCAAATATTTACATGATCTAACTAGGTATTATAACTAAGCAGATTTATTCGCAATCGGCCACGATATGTATAAAAATCAATACTATCAAATATAACTAGGCCTTGTAAGAACTTAAACACTCACACGTAGACAAACAGACACACAGAACAAATAAATAATTCTCATACTGAGGGGCAGGTGACCACTTCACCTAACTCGTATTTGCGCGCTATTTTCCTCATATGATCATTTGTATGATTATGAAATGGATTTGTTATTCTCAGTACGTTATTCTTAGACGTGATCCTCGCCCGGCACTGCTTGCTATACGACATGCATCTCCAAAATGTTCGTCCGCTTCTCACACTGTCCGTTACAAATATATAAGGTTCGTATATCAATTGTAGGTGACCGCTTTTTGTTTGTATGAAATGGAGATCTCCCTTTGTACCGCTGTTTATATTACCTACGAGAAAAATTATAATCAATTAATATAAAGTCCGCGGTAAATATTCACGATCAATATGTAGAAATGCTGCAATAAAACAACTTTACAATTATATAATATTTAATATTCCATATACAGTCCTGTTATATACAGTTGAATTAAAATCAAAATCATATCTGGAACGTTCCTTTGATAATTGTGACACAAAATAAAGAATATACAATACAAAAGAAATACTCAACTTGTATACAATTTTTTGTGAACATCCCCTTGAAATATTATTGTTTGTAAAACATGGAATATTCTCAGTAAAAGATACAATATAACATGAAATTTTAAACAAATGCTTATAATAGATATATATATTAAATATGATACATATTCTGAAAACTAGTGAATCATCGGCCTACAAACATTTTGACTAGCACACAAGTGACACAAAACACAACTTATAATATAGGTCATGTAGGCGGAGATACTCAAATGTAATTATATAAATAACATGATCCCATATAACAACAATTATATTCTATACATATAAAAGTAGAAATGATTCATCAAACATGATTGAAATTTAAAATTAATTTTCAATACAATATCACAAAAATATATACAACCTAATTCTTTCAATACATTATTTTTTCTGAATTTTCGGAATCATTTCAGAACAGGTTTTGACCTGTTGTCAATGAGCAATCACATAATAATTGTGTAACAATATATTTTAAGTGTGTAAAAGTTATATATTTTTTATTACAAGATATTTAAAATGTATCAACAAATTGTGAAACTGGCTCCAGATAAAGCTGTCCGCTGCTATATTTAGAACTTCCAAATATATGAGGAAACAGAATAGGAAATCTGAGCAATTTAATGTTTGGTTTGATTAAAACTTAACCCTTACCTATTATAGTATGTACTTAATGTTTTAATAAAATATTTCCGAGTGAATATTCAGATGATATGAAAATACATATAAATATAATTCCACCTTAATTTGGTTATAGATTTATTCAGTAACTTATGATATTTTTTTAAATAAATGTTATTATAATGCTACTAAACTCTTATAAATAATATATTATTTAATGCTTTTATCATGTAAAAACAAATTTAAATACACAGACTTTCCGCTGTCCTGACTCAATGAGTAATTAAATGTTACATATCCCATCTGCAGACAGCACATAAAGATTATCATAATCACTAAACAACCTAGAGAATAACCACATATTCATATTATATGTATACAAAATTTCATTTCTAAAGCATCAAAAATTTATTCAATACAAATCTATGGTGCCTCAAATGAAACTGAGATTAAAACAAAACCATAGAAATGATTCAAATGAAATTTTGTAACTGAAAAAGGGTCAAGCTACTTTTATATCTTCAATTATATCATTAAATGTTAGACAAAAACTACTTTAAATTCAGATTTTATATTTCACTACATGTTATACGTAATACGAGTTAATCTAATTGTTATTATAAGTGGGGTCATTATTGCTAGATATTTTGTTATAAAAACAGTATCAATATGTTTATAATGAGTAAAATGAGATTAAATTGATAATATGTAATGTACAGAAGGTATAATATTTCTGTTGCTTTTATGAGAAAGTCATATGATTGAATACTAAAAGAATTGCAAAAAATGTACAGGTGTATATTTTGTTCCATATAATACTTTTTATGGACCCACCATTTGCTAAACTTGATAGACCTTTTCAATAAAGCACAATGAAAACTTAAAATTTCTTTGACAAATTTAAATGTTGCATGTTTATACTTGATGTGATTACTGAGTATAATGCAAATATGTTTAAAATTAAAATATAACTAAATTAAAAAGCTATTATAAATAAAACAAGAAGTACATTTTGACAAGGTTAATAAAAAAAATATTTCTTGAATATTAATTATATAAGGAAAACGTAAAACAGGAACAATAAATATTTCCTGTAAGCATAAAGAAAAGACAAAATTATTGTAATAATTACTTTAAAATGTTAATTAGCTTTGTAGATATCTACTGAATGTGTACTCTGCAATGTATTAGAACAAAAGTAACATCAAACACAAATTATTTTAATCTTATAACCATTTTTATTGCAAACATTTATAAAACATAAACATATATAGGTCCTAAATGTCATTGTTGGGTTTAAAACATGTTCATTGACCAAAAGTATGGGTTGCATCCAAATGGCTTTTTCATTAAACAATATACCTTCACCATTTTATACTGTTAGATACGCTGTTAGAATCTTAATACTTCAAATAACAGAATAAAATATAACAGTGTTTTGCAAAGACTTTGGATTCCATGAAACAAATGAAGTAACATTTCAGTGACTCGGTTAAAACCAATCTAACCATACCATACTTATTATAATATACTCCAATTCTTAGAATGTTTTTTTTTATTATAATTAATTACAATATTGTACCATTGCAATTTTGTAATAGTTAAATTAAAATAACATTTAAATATCAACCTGTATTTCAAAACTGTAAATACTAGCTTCAACCGTTTTGTAGGACATTACTGCAAGTAACCATGAACACTGAAAAACAAATCTGAAACTGTATGTCAAACAGGACTAAAGAGACATCCTTTTGGTATTCTATAAAGTCAACTTGCCTACATCTGCTTCATTAAAATTTGGGTGTCTTCAAGGCTAGAGTGAACATACAGTTACCGAGATATCGGGTTCACTACCTAATGCTTCGTAATCATTCACAAGGGATGGCTTGACACACAAACATTATCCAATCTATATTTAAAAAATATATATACTTCTTTGCTTCTACCGAGACATTGCATTTACCATCTATGAACACACTCACCATATCTTTTCTTTAGCAGAAAATATAAACAAGGAAGCTGATTTACTATCACTTCATTTTACCTAAGAGTAGAGTCCAGATTTGCTATTTTAGCTATTTAAGATAAGAGAGGAGAACATTGGCTATTTCAGCTCAATAACATTTCACATTTATGCTATTGGTAGGTTATATATTTAAATTAGTTAAAAAGACTAGGGACTCTTATGACTTTTGGACCTAAAATGAACTTCTAAACCAAAACTGAAACTTTTTAGAATATATGATATTATTTTCGACAGAATTGTTGTCCTCTAGGAAGACATATACACTCTTATAAGTTTAATTATCGGGCCAAAACAATCCTACAACTTATAGATATGAAGTGTTTGGTTCTATCTTCTTGGTAAATAAATTTCAAAGTTGGTCGTAGATTAATGCTGTTTTAATATAATCCCAATGATAAATAGGTATTGTTTAACAAAAAAGCCACATACAAAGACGTTGTGACTTTATACGCATCTTATAGGTTATGTTTACAAATGACGCGCGCAAAATATTAAGATACAATAGGATTGTAAATTTCTATTCAAAACTCTTATTACTTATCGACTGCTAGCAATTTTCAATACAAACGAAAACAAAAGCTAAAAATTTTAAGACTACAGAGAGTTGACAACCAGTAATCGTTTGGTGTCATGTAACTTTAACCACTACATATTACATATTACTAACTAATAATTCAATCGTACATACCAAAATAAAATCCATAGAAAATTCTTTTTTTTATTAATCACACACTCAATAGAAAACACTATCAAACCACAAAATAATATAAAACATTTGACGTAAACACGTTTAAAGTAACAACGAACCTCATAACAAAAGAAACATATGCGTGGTTATAAATATATCACATTTAACACTTAATAAATCACTGCAATCCAGATTTTGATAGCCTAAACAAGCACTAGATTTTTACTATTTCTCAAAATAGTAAACAATCAGTAAGTGACACATTTGCGACCATAGATCTCACGGCGTTTAGACGGCAACCACAAATAACGGAATTATATTCCTTTACGCGCATACTTTATTATTTTAATAGGTACTTATGAATGTAATGTAATAACAGATTCTCGTGATTTAAAATTTATTGAGAAATTTCTGAACCTGCGTACAATTACTTTATTCACCAAATAGAGAGCTATTATAACAAAACATTTCTTTAGTAACAAAATCGTGAGATCAATTCGATAAAATTAACATTACTAACGCCATCTATGATGTTCCTTAGGAGAACCTAAACTTATGTATGTACTTAACATAAACTATTATAAAATTTATTCTTCTATTACATAATAAGACCAAAACTATTTTATATATATGAATGAAGCTAATTTTAAAGACTAATAAGAAAATCAACTACAGCGTCCTCTACAGACGAGTAGCTAACTTCTTTTATTTTAATCATAGTATACTATCTAAAGATGCATTAAATTTGTGATATTTTTAAAATTCCAAAATTATTGTCAACTAGAATATTATCTAACTTTAAAATTTGCTTTTCTTCGAGTCTTTAAAGTGTGTGTATAGACATTGTCCTTCTTCACCCACTGTAAAACAATGCCATCTATCGAGATTATCATAATTGGCTAAGAAATCGTTTTTTGAGTAATTACCTATTATAATATTCGAATTTCTTTCAAAGGATAAATGTTGTTTCAAATTTTTAAATAATCAACTTTCATATGTAGCTTACATAATATGTACTCAGGATAACGACATGGGTTTTTCTATTTAATAGTAAGTATGCATCAAAATGTATGCACCACAGCTTAGCTCAGTGTAATAAAAGAATAAATTGTCAAATTGTCTCGAAACAAAAAAGAAAAAAGTATTTAAAATTACTGTCACATTGTCCTGTAAAGACAATGTATTTAGAAACTTCAGCGACTCATTCAGGACTAGGTTGCTTTTCACTATTATGAGATGTTTTTAGTTACTCATAAAACAGATTTTATGAATAAGTAATTAATCAATTAAAGTTTATCTGTCTACTCACGGAGTACTTATCTATGAGCGAAACGACAGCCAAGTGCAGAAAATTAATATTTTACGTGGTTGAGTTTAGTACCAGATTAATGTCAATTGATTAAAAATTGAGTCAAATATAACAATAAAACAGAGTCGTATAATGAAAACATCTCATATGACCTGTCTTTAAAATCTGCTGAAAGCAATACGTAGGTGCAAGAGGACATATGTAAATCAAAAGCTTATTTCTGTGCAAGTTTATTTAATGAAAACTTGAAACAATGTACATCTCCATCTTGATCAAATGTTGTTGACAAAGCGTATTAATATAAAATCAGAGTTTAGTTTACACTGTTAATGTTTCACTAATGTCATAGATTTTGCAACAATGTTTGGTGCATCTAAGTAGGGACATGCCTATTTTTCACAATTCTTCATAAACTTGAATGGGGTCAGAGCATCGTATTTGAACGAAACATATATACCTACAGTCAAACGGGGCTCATAGGATCGTGGGATCGTAGGATGATCGGGGTTGGGAAGATAGGTAGGTATTCAAATAACCATGGCAAAAACTCCAACAAATGATTAACCATAAGCCTATAAAATGGCAGTAAATCAATATAGGTACCTAGCTAGAATAATTATCTTTTGAACTGGTAGCTTTGGCAGTTACTTAAAAAAATATTGTCAAAACAGCAGGTTGAAGTTACGTGTTTGAGCACCTGCTACTGAAGTTTAATTGTTGTAGCAAAATTGGTTCCCTAACTAATAATTTCGTCTTTATTCTGGAGCCTCTAACATTAGGCACAATTATTCAAAAGCTTGTCAAATCGTATAATTAGGTATATTGAAAAGAATTTACGAAATTTTTAGGGAAGTCATGGTTTATATATAGTTCACTAGGGGTCAATAGGAACGCCATATTAACTAAATAAGACGATGCAGTGTATCAAGAGACAGTAAAGGAACTATAATAGGGTTGTCAACGAATTTGCAAGTACTTAGCTAATTTATTGTAACAAATAACAACCCTAAGCTTTTCATGCCAATTGCCGTCCCTATTGACCCCCAGTGTTTGAATAGTGAAGATCTACAATAATTACGGGTTTTTATCCAAGATTTAGTGAAGCTAAGTGAACTGAGAACGTAGTTTTCAAAGTAGGTATGATTCTTAAGGATTCAATGATTCTTTAGGTACCTATTATTGCCAAAGGCCCCTTTTCAATTGTGCCTATACCCTCATTTTACTATTACCTATTTTAAATATTTGGCTGCTGTTGACATTCCAAACATTGAATCTATTGTAACCTAAAATTTGAAGCAGAACCTCCAAAGGTTGCATGGTCCTGTTGAACAGACTACCCAGAACTCAAGCATAGAAGTGAAACACACCTACTTCACATACCATACGTAATAAACAGAACAGGCGAATGAAACTAGCATTCGCAAACATACTTTGAAATATGCTTTATCATAGCTCTAATCTGTCTAGTTAACACTTTCGCATAATATAACCATACTCTGCATACTAAAGAGTATTGGCCGTACTTTAAAATTTTTTTATAATGTAAAGTGATATCTAATTTACCAGCTTTTCTTTTCTGTATTTACCAAGGTTCATTAGAAATCTAAACCAAAACGTTGAAAAGTTCTTTAATATGCTTACCATACAACTTAAACCATTTTTTCTGATAACCAGTTCAAATACCAGTCAACTTACCTCTCTCGTCTTTAATTCAACGTACCTTTAGAAGTTACCAATCCATTCGAAATACTGTTACCATGTGTTACCAGATTTGAACAATACCTTTACCTTTTATAACCATAACCTTATACAACTTGAAGGTCATGCTTTATATAATTAATCGTAAAGCATGACCTTCAATAATTAGCGCAGTTAACCTGTAACATGTCAATTCTATGAAACCAAATTCTTATATCTAGAGATCTTAATTAACTTACAAATTTCATTTTAAATCTAGAACATCCATGATATTTTTTGTTATTTAAAATTTAACTAGTGTAATTTTTATATCATGTATGTTGAATATAAAGTATGGACAGGCAGTCCAAGTCAAATATTTTGACATGGCTTGCCACTAAACATAATGAAACCTACCTTGTGCGTCACCCACAGCACCACCCTCCCCGCCGCCAGTTAAATTGCCATCGCCAGTCGTTGAGCCATCAAAACCTAAGTACAAACAAGATATAAGAAATAGAAGAATTAAGGTATAAAAATACTTGCAAGTTATCATATAATTACCAGTCATTTCCATATTCGAGTCATCTTCGCCAAAGTTCGTTTCATCATTATTCGTGCCGTCGTCGTCTTCATCCCATAAACTTTCATTAACAAATTCGGGTTCCATTTTGGGTGCAACAGCATTGTTTTCATCCTCGTCTGGTATCGTGACAAATTCCTCTTTGGCTGATCCTGATGGTCCGGCTTCTAAGGGATCTACACATTTTCTTTTCGCAGGTCCACTTTGAGATGACGACGAATTATTTGATGCTATTGATGGCCTATTTGGTCTCTTAATTGCTACTGGAGTTGAGGAGGGCTTAGAATCTAAATCAGTCTCTAACTTAGTCATAACAGATTGCCTTTGTTGTGACGACCTCGGGCCTGGCCTCGAAGTCGGCTTTGGTTTGGATGGCGTAGAACTTTCTTCATTTTGATTACCGGTTAAACCTTTAACTTGAAGTTGTTCTGCGGTACTAATAAACGACGCTAATTCCTCTTGCTTAACATTAACTTCACCTTGGTACATAAACTGTAATAAGTCTCTAAGCGCTGAATGACTAACATCTTTTAAAAATACTGAAACAAAACAATATATTGAGCATATTATTTTTCAAATATGTTAAAAATACAAGCGAAGTGCTATCTATAGATACATACCTATGGGATGTTGAGTGGGGTTCATTTTGAACATTTCTTGAAAATAGGGAGAACATACTGATAAAACTAATTTGTGTGCCTGTAGTAATCTACCTTCGGCAGCCAATGTTACGTCAACTAAATCTCCACGCGACAGCAGGCCATGAAAGCCTGCTGACATATTCGCATGGAAATTGTTCCAACATAGCGAGAACTGTTCGTCCGACGCCATGATGGCGGCGACCGTGAAGAAAAACCTGTAAAGCAATAAGCCGTAAGTGATTTATGTTAAACATGAAAACTAAATATTTAAAATCCCATAGAAAATCAACCGACCTATCCTATAACGTTTGTACTTATAATTTCAATATTAGAAACATTTGAAATAAATATAAGTTTCTAATGTAGCACTATACACTCTGTCATCCCAAGTCCTCCCCGTTTGAGCGCTGTTCACGGTATGATGACGCAAACGAGACGTGTTGTGTGTCGTCACAGTGTGGTTATACTCAAGTCAAGTTGCACGAAATTAATTTTATGTTTTTTGTTAATAAATAACTTTCTTAAAGCAAATCAAATAATATACAAGTAATTAGTACAATTTTGCACATCGCAACATACTGTTTATTATACATATTTGAAAACTATTTCGGTTTAGAAGTATTGATCGTGCAGTTTATATTTTTGTGTGGTAGTCTACGCCATGACATACATTTTTGTAATGTAATTGTTTTATTTATCGTTTTAGTATACTGGTTTTATTTTTTATTAGACTCTTAGTTTCCTCAATATTTATACAATATAAGAGAAAAATGTACAATATGTAACAATAAAACAATTTAATATAATTTCACAATTAAAGAAATATAGGTACTTCATATATAATATGGAATAAATAATAAGTTTTATCATCTATTAAGTAATATTTATTTATCTTACAAAAAGTTTTACTCGTACATGACATATCTATTCACTTTCATAACAGCTATAACTTTTTTGTTGTTTTGATCTTTATAAAAATTTTAAAAACATTTTTATTAATGGTTATAGCATCTGAAAATATTGTTAAAGTAAAATTTATTTATTGATTTAAATATTTGATGGAATCATATCATACATATGTAAACATTAAATTAATAGAATAAATCTTTTATTGTGAAAAATCAATAAATAAAACTTTGTTATTAAAACCCACACAAAAAGAAAGAGAAAACAGAAGGGAGAATGTTTAAATCTCAGAACATAGGATTATAAATCTTATGGCATAAGCTTTAAAGTTGTTTTTTAAATACATTTTATTGCACAGTAATGTTGCCAGTTTCTGGGCATTGTTTCGTTTTGTGCAATTTCTTATAACAGAATTTTTATTTCATTATTAAAAAAAAAGCAAAATTAGGGAAAATTCTGTAAATTCTTGGATTTTATAAAAAAATAATGATACAGCAAGACATTATTTACTTCAAATATAATTTAATTTTAATCTATATGTCTGTTATTCTTTCACGCCTGAATTTATTTTAATGTCGAGGTTTACTATTTTGATAAACAAAATTTCGGACTTTAGAGAGCAACAGCTGCTTCTTGCCTTATAATGACATCTATACGAGCAGAGCCGTGGGCAAAAGCTGATATTAAAGAAGTTTTATAAGTAAGTGGAATATTGGTACATGCATGTATAAAATATTACATTACGTTTTTTCTGTTAGAAGTTTCCAAATTTCTAAATATTATTTAATTCATCACTAATCTTAAAAAGATTAAAACATTTGTAAAGACATCCATATAATATAAAATATACAATTATGAGCACTTACAGTAATGATCATTGATATGTATATGTTAGTCTAAACTCTAAACAAAAATAAAATTATAAATTCTGTTTATTAGATGTTATTTAAGTTTAAAGATCGGAATTATTTATTTAGAATTGAAAATTGCAAAGTGTGTTGGAACAATGAATTTAAATATACATGTAAGCATTTTAAATTTATCATATTGTTCTATCATCAGCTCCTAATAACGCTTTGTTTTATATTATGTGCTATGCAAAATATTTATGTGAACGAAAGAGTCTTTGTCTGGTCGGATATTAACGAATTGAACAAAAAAAAGTGAAAGAATATTTTCTGGCATAAATAATATTTGATCACAAATTGCAAGCGGGTGCCTATATTAATTGAAAAAAACAACACTCGTCGCCGGGGCAACATCGTTGTATGCATAAAATATCATATTATATCCTTACCGTGGGAACTAAATAAATATCATGTACCATAAAAAAAATGCCATTGCCACTCTAACATCGTGGCAATCAAGTAGGCTTTGGTGTAAAATATAAGTGTAAGGTACTACTTACAATTATATATACATAGATAATATACTTATAAGTCAGTGGGGGTCTAGTGGTTAAAGGCCGGCTCCTCATGTATGAGGGCGTGGGTTCGATCCTGGCAACTACCAATGTGATATTTCCGAGTCATATGTACTTTCTGAGAGTATTTAGACACCATTGACAGACGGTGAAGGAAAACATCGCAAGGAAACCTGGACTTATAATTTCACAATTATAAGTTTGAAATCACCAACTCGTCTTAAGCAAGCGTGGTGATTAATGCATTCTCAAAGAGGGTTGATGTCAGGCAGGCAGCCGGTCGTAAAAACAATTAGCCAAAACAATTGACAACATATTGTAAGCAGGCTGGTCCCTGCTAAAGCTGGGAAAATTGCCAGGAAGAAGAAGAGATAATATACTTTGAGATAACTCGTCGCAGTAAGAAACTGAAAAAGTTTCGGTGACACTTAACGCATAATTAAGATAAGTTGTGGTTTTTAAAACTTTACATTATTTTCTGTTCGAAGTTGTTTTACTTTATAGCTATTTGAACGATGTATATTTATAGCTATTTGAACGATGTATATGCAAGAAAGAATCTACATATGAACTATGGTGACTATACTTACAGTGTTCTCTACGCCATAGGAAGCCTATATAAAGCTATATATATATATGTATATATTAATAAAGATATTTAAGACAATTTCTACTTTCTAATTCAAGGTGTAAAATCGAAAACCTATTTAGTATTTATGTATTCACCGCGGCCGTTAAAACTAATAACAATACAATAAAATAATGTACTACAGATGTGTAGGTGCCATTAAGATCTAGAAAAATGTTCGCAAGAGCATTTACCTCACTACCATAGTTTATTTACTATATCGGCTTTTGTTTTCAAATATTTACTAAATCTTTGAAGAAAAAAGTACGTTAAATGTGTATCGTAATGTTAATTTTTAACCATTATGTTATTAAGAGCATCTATGTGTAAGTAAAATACTTTTTGTTTCGTCTCAATAACACATTTTATATAAAAGTTATCACGACTATAAGACCCTTAGAATTAGTACCAAATAATTAATTATTTGCAAAAGAGTTTTATCAACATAATATATCTATTACTAATCTTTAGCATTTCATTGTGAACAAAATTAGCATTTAAGTCATCAAAACATTTAATTTCAATTGAGTTCTTAGAATAATATTTATACTATATATATGTATTACAAACGCGTAAGTAACTATGTCGGTTGATTTAGATAAATTTGGAATATGGATAGATGGAACCCTGGGGAGAAACATAAGCTTCTTTTTATCCCGATCCCGAATCAAGAATCTCGATCCTAAAACCACGAGTGGAACCATGAAGTGCAGTTTGGAATTTGGATTCAGTGTTCGTGGTTACAGAATACAACTCTCATGTTGTCGCGGACGAAAGCTACATTATACATAGTTATATAATATCGTATTACTTCGTATATATATATATATATATATATATATTATTTAGTTTATAAAACGGTTAGTGTTATTAAATCTATACATGGTTTAATGCAGTGATTCCCAAAGTGGTCCAGGTGGACCCCCAGGGGTCCACGGGAGACTTGCTGGGGGTCTACGTAGGCGTGAACAAAAAATGGGGGTCCACGAAAATTTATCTGCTTTTGATAGTAAAGAGCAAAAATGTAAGCATAGTTTTTATAAGGGCCTACCTACATTGTTTTAAGTACCTAACTAAGCAGATAATATTTTAATAAGGCAAGCGACTGTTACTTGCCCAAACTTGCGTATTCGATATTACGTACAATTTCGAGTACAGACTTGCAAAGCGCTATCCGCCCGACAATGCTTAATGCTTGTTCAGACATGAACTTGATCACCACTATAAATACTTGATGCGAAAGGCAAACTCATTCATTTGTTTCCAAAATTTCTAAAATTTTATTTTACCTATCGGAATATAGAGACAGAACTCAGAAGTGACACAATTTTTATTTTTTGGCGACTTTAAGAATGTGGTAGAAATGTAGCAGCAGGGGGTCCACCGAAACCAGTAAAATTTTGAAAGTGGTCCACGAGAAAAATAAGTTTGGGGACTACTGGTTTAATGGTACCTAATAGAAAAAGTAAAAAGTTCTACCTAAGTTTTTTTTATTCCTATTTATTAATGTTGCTACAGATTGTGTTATAACGTGCCTACAGTATTTATAAATCTCACCCGATTTTCTGATAAACGTATAAGTGTGTTGGTTTTGAGATTCATATCGTAAGTACGTACTTAATAAAAGTGTTTTTTCTTTTGAGATTTACAATGTCAGACATTATATTTAAAATTCCCCAGAAAAAAAATAGTAAATTAATAATTAAAATTCGATAATAATAATTTCAATGAACTAATATACTTCATTTAATGATCTCGGCTTATTAGACTTTTTTATCATAAATTTTCAATTAATACATTGTTGCTTTACTGTCATTAAGCACTTCTTTTAAATATATAACTCGTCTTTAATATTGCAATTATCAAAACCACTTTATTAAAGTATTGTAAGTCAATCTAAACAATTTACTCTCTCTTATATAAAATGTTCAATGAATTTCAGCATAAGTATTTGGTGATGTAAAAGATTTTTAATGTGAAGATTCCATAAACAACATAAGAACCATACTGACGGTAAATCATGTTTCATGCAGATTTGTATCGTCATACTTAATACGTAACTTTTGCTCTGTTTTTCATTTATCAACATACATATTAACGCATTACGGGAACGGAAAACGATTCGTATGTAGTGCAACGACATAAACTCGTGCTTAGCACACAAATTTATCATGAGTGATATTTTAGAACTATGGCTATAAATAAAAAAAACCTTGCTTTAAAGTTTAAACCACACCATAACTATGAACTTACTAGTACTGAATCTATAACTAGTTTTTTAATTTACATGATATAATGAAATCCGACATACTAAAATACAGACAAAAAACTCCTTACACCTTATTCTGGTCTTCAGTAAGTAGCATATTAATCGAATTCTTGAAGAATATTCGTTGGTTGTCTTTAAAAGTGTCACTTTGCTTCTGTAGTAAAATGTGTGAGAACTTCATTGATAGACTTTCACAACAGGAGTATGAGATTTTTTGATCTAATCCGTTGTCACAATCCACGCATAGGTCAAGGCTTTTTTACCCCAGCTGATTTAACAGCTTGTGACCACTGTTACTTGAAATATCTAAGTGTCCGAATATGTAAAATGTAGTTTTCAAATTATAATCGTTATAAAATACATATTAAATAAGGAAAGAACATTATTTTTCTAAATAGTTGAAGTCGATTACACCAATTATAATTAGCTAGATCAAGCTCAGGTTTGATGGAAATTAATTCATATGTATATGTTCATTCGTATGTATATTTATGTTTATATTTATGAATTATTAAGCTTTTTGATTATCTCTTAATCAAAACGAACTACTAAACTTATTAAATAAACTCTGTTAGTTCAAAAATCCTTGACCTTAGCGCACAGTATATAAAGCATTTTATCCTCCTAGCAATAACGGTTATGTGGATGAAACTATAAAAACTTCTGCCCATATAAAATATATAATATCATAATATATATAGGTTATATCGGGATTGTTAAAAATTAGCAATTACGCGTTGGCGAATAGATAAGTATGAATGATGATGTGTTGCGGATTCAGATGAAATGTGGTCAGTCATGTGGTGGCTCTTGTTGTGTTCACTGTTCGCGCCCACACACGCGGTGGTAGGTGGCAGGCAGGCTGCACCACCCGAGCCTGATGCTGCTGTGGTCTTCACACAGAAACATGGACTGAGTGCTAGATTAGAAGGCATCAAGGACGACGCACGCGGATACTACGTCTTCGCCGGTTTGAGGTTGTTTTTTGCTCAATATTTTTAGGGTTTTTTATCATTAATATTAATGGCTGGTAGCATTTTTATTCTCTTATTTAATTAACGTATCTTTACTGTTCAAATTGTTAATCTTTGAAATATAAAGAGTTCATAATCATATAGTTTAAAAAATTAAGTTCTTAAGATATATTACGGTTTTTATTTATTAGTTTTAAACTTTGTAGTCCCGACGTTTCTGTTCCTTAAAGATCTATACAGCTTGCCACCGAGTAGTGTATACATTTATACTTATTAATAAATCACAATAAAAATATAAGGAGTCTTCTAACGTCCATAACTAAGCGTTAGTCGTTGATAACTTATCAAACATGTTAAAATTTAATTCAATCATTGTCCTTAATTTCAATTAACATTATTCTGGAGGCGCTTTTACAAAGGGAAGTTGTTATTTTAGTACTCAATACATTACCTATGGGCTATGTACCTAAACCTCATACTGCTTAGAAAGATATAATATATAAACTATAATTTTTATATATACCTATTAACACAGTAGTAACTGTAAATATGAATGCAATATATTGACATTAAAAATATTTATTAAATGAATGTATTTATATGTAATTTTTAATTTTTACGGCTTAATGAGAACCTATTCGCCTTGTTCGAGGTATAGGCATAGCCAAACTAAGGAAAACAACATAAGCTTATAAAAAAAAAAAACGACGTTTCACATAGAAAACATAAAACTGTGAGAAACCTTTATAAAATGTGGCTAAATATTTAATATAGTTTTAATAAAACAATGAATAAACTTAAAATATTTATTGCTATCGTACCGTAAGATAAAAATATGTACCTAGGTATATATCCGGAAATAAGGTACCAGAACTAAAAAAAAAGGTTTTGTTTTTTGAAATTTATACAATAAAAATGAATGTTATTATTGAACAAGTTGAAAAACAAAACTTTGCAATAATTGACACATAAAAAAACATTGATAGCTTTTAAAGTCGACAATGGAGGTAGATTAGTAGTAGTTTTTAACAATTATTATCATTAGAACACCAAGTATTCCTCCAAGTAAGCAAAGTCCAACAAAAATGCACTTTAAGATCTAATTCAATAGGTATATGTTCTTTTTTGTGACCTTGTCAGTTGTCGTAAGCCTTCTGTGATCGGACCAATACTTCTCTAGATTCTATTCAACTTTTTCTTTCATATTCTCTCTCTATCGTTGTTGTTAAAAACAAAAAAGCAATATGGTTAGCACAAGATGGCTTTACATACGAAACTATATATAAAAACTATATAATTATATATTTTAAAACGATGATGTAAAAATCATAAATTAAAATCTGTTACCTCTCTGTGTATTGTCATAAGACAACCTGTATTAAGTACATAGGTCTAACCGAAAAATATTAACAGCTAGTCTGTCCTTACTAAAGATTTCTGTAAAGTAATTGTGTATAAGCGTCGCATCAACTCCAAAGAAAATAGTTCTACATATTTAACTTAATATTTTGAAAATAATACAAAAAATATAATTACCACAGAAAATGAAGTATTCATATTAATTTTTCTGAATTTTCAAATGCTTTTCCTGCGTATCTTGCGTTTTGTAAGACATAAGTTACTTTTTATTTCGTTAAAGTAAATATAATGTGAAATTACAATCAAAATATCACAACATATCTAAAATATAAAATTATCGATAATTATTTTTAATATAGCTTAGCTTAAAATTTAGATTTTTTTTTGAATAACCCACATCCATCAACGGATGTGTCGATAAAGTTTTCCGGTGATAGTCTAAATTTATCAAGTACAATTACTGCTATGCATAATCCTGTTATTCAGACAGATTTTTTTATAAATATGAATTAGGCAATATTTAAACCGGTATATAACTTTTATCACTTCCTCTAAACTGTCAATTGATCACATCCTTTTAATTCTCTAACTAATAATAAACATAATTAACTAATTAAGATTTTGAAATAACGTTGATATTCGTCAACAGGTATGCGGAACCTCCGTTGGGTTCGAGGAGGTTTCAGAGGCCGGTGCGTCGTTTCTTGGCTGGTGAACAGCTTGCTAACAGACACTGTCTTCCGTGCCCTCAAATGGACCCCAGAGGATCTGGCAGGGTGATTGGACACGAGGATTGCCTCTGTTTGAACGTTTACGCACCGAAAATGCCCGGCGACGAAGAAGGTAGTTTCATATAACCCTATTATTCTTTGCTATTTTGTGAACATTCTGTAATACTCTATTGTTTTAGGTTGCCCCGTTATTTTCTTTATTCATGGAGGCAATTATCGAACTGGCTCAGCTGCTCCGTATGGGGTGAGTGATAAGGAGATATATTCATAGAATATAGACTTTGTACTTGGATATTTAAATGTATTATATCAACATTTTAGGGTGTACATTTCACTCAAAAGGACACGATACTCGTAACAGCGCAGTATCGCTTGGGGTCCCTTGGTTTTTTAAGTACTGGGGAGATCGACGCTTCTGGAAATACGGGTTTATTTGACCTTAGAGCAGCCATGGCATGGGTAAGGTTTATACAAATTGTAATGACTGCTTTAAAAAACTAAAAATACGTGAAGACTATTTTGTAAGACGAATTTTGAGATTTTATTATTCTACATTTTAACCGAGGTTTAGGCTAATTTTATGTAAACTGCGAAATCATTAAATAATGATTCTTGTAGAAACGTTTTTGATAAATAACGAAAGTTTTTGAACTTTTAAATAAGAGCCTGTTTAAAGTTATATCAAGTACATGAAAAGGGATAGGTCATCATTCTTTTTTTATGTTAAGCAAGTTTTAAGAAAAAAAATAATTACATATTTGAATTTTTGAAGATCCAAAACTTTTTAATTCCATTGTATTTGTTGAGTAGGAATGACAGATCTTAAAGATTCTGATATCTTTATTTTGCTTGTCAAAGTCACTCTGCAGTAATTATTTGTGAAAAGATTCCTATTGATATTATTAAGTTGTCACAATAGTCAGTTAGCCTAGTGGTTAAAAGGCCTGCCTCTCATGCATGGTTCGATCCTATCCCTGGCAAATACCAATGTGATTTTTCCGAGTCATATGTACTTTCTAAGACTATGTAGACATCACTGATTAATGCATTACCAAAGAGGGTTGATGTCAGTTAGGCGGCCGGTCGTAAAAACAATTAGTCAAAACTATTCACAACATATGAAGCAGACCCTGGTTATAGCTGGGAAATTGCGAGGTAGCAGAAGAAGATATTCAGTTGTGACAATATTGTCAACCACAGGTGAAAGACTACATATCATTCTTCGGTGGAGACCCTTCCAGGATAACTGTAATGGGCCATGGCTCAGGTGGTAGTGCGGCGACATTGATGGCTTTGTCTCCTGAGGGTCGTTCAGCGACCGGGGTCGCAGCCCTCTCTGGAGCACCCCTGTCTCCGGGCGCCGTCAGAGAGAATCCATACCAACACGCTGAGGCCCTGTCAGAAAAAACCGGTTGTCCTAAAGCACCCGCAGAAAAACTTCTCAACTGTTTAAAGACTCTACCCGCTGAGAAGATTATAATGGTATGATATTTTTTATTGCTCGTGAAGAATATGCAATTGTATTTTAATATTCAAATGTATTGTGTTATGTTACAGGCTGATAATGAAATTAAAGGAGATATGATTGACGTAAACTCTTTCCTTGACGAGCTGTCCGGCCGTTCTGGTAAGCTTTCAATATGAATATCACAAATCAAAATGAAATAATTCTTTTAAAAAAACTATCATTGAACCTACATAAAGATTAACTTAATGTCAGCTGATAGCAGTATCATCAGGCTGTAGTATAGCACACAAGTACATACCTTGCCGGGTTTGATTACTTTTAAAGTATCTACGCTTAATAAAAATCTAACAAGTTATGGGTAAAGATTTTTGTAACAATAAGCATCAGTATGGAATTAAACAATAGACACAAAAAAAACCGTTCAATGATATTCTCAGACCACATGGTAAAAAAAAATTAACCACTTTTAAGTAGTGGTTCAACTAGACGTAATTGGTTTGAACAAGAATGAACAAATAGAGGAACATTTTAACACATAGTTATCAATGGCTCGTTCGCTTATTCTACTTCCATGATTATATTTATTTTATTATATAAATGATATATTATGTAATATTTCTGTCATAAAGGTGCTGGTTCACGTGTGGAAGGCCCTCACGATCGTCGTTCTCTGCCGCCGCTCGTGGAGGAGGCTCCTACCGACTCCCTCAAACGGAAACACCAGCGAGTGCCCATGTTCACTGGAGTCACCTCTGCAGAGACCGCCAATGCCGTGTTTGGTTAGCATTCATAGTTATTATAAACAATTATTATGTATGGGACGGATCCAAACAAAATAATCATGACATTAGAAATATACTAAGGTCTGTATTATATTTGTTATCGTTGCGTTGACTAATACATATGGCAGATGTTATTTTTTCGAATTTAATACAGATTTTTACTAGATCCTTAGGAAAATCTTACATTGTTGAAATGAATAATTTTACTGCAAAAATATTTACTGGCAAAAAACATTCATAGCTAAAAGTTTTCGAAACTGTTATCAGGTAAATACAGGAATTTCCTGATTAACCAAGTGACAGAAGTAAAAGACTTCATCAAAAATCATCTGATTGGTGGTTTACGTGGCGTGGTTCAGACGGTGCAAGGACTTAACCCGTTGGAGTTGACGGGACTAAACCAGGTCGTTCCTCTGCCAGATTATTACCAAGCCGTCTTCGACAACTCCCTGAAGGCTATTGACGCTCTGAGCGAAATCGTTGAAGCTACCGGTAAGTGTATATTTGTTTAGTACTGATTTGAAATACAGTCAACATCTGTTGATGGACTGTCTAAAGTTTACGCCTTACTTTATTCGATAGCAATGTTTTTATCTGTCGTCAGGTGACGCTCTATTCAATTTCCCTGCATACCAAAGCGTCCGTGAGTGGAGTACTGGAGCCCCTGCCTTCCTCTACAGCTTCGAACATCTCGGCAACTTGACACGAGGCAATCACTTCCTCCCGGGACTTGCTCTCACACGTTCGTATAATATTTATATGATAACAGACGAACATAAATATCAACTTATGATGAAACTAGCTTTTCGCCCGCAGCTTCGCCTGCGTGGAGTTCGGTTATATCGCGTTTCTAAGAGAACCAACTCTATCTCTGTACCAAATTTCATTAAAATCAGTTCAGTGGTTTAGGCGTGAAAGCCTTACAGACAGACAGACAGACAGAGTTACTTGCGCATTTATAATATTAGTAGTGATAAAGAAGTTCATGAAATTACCGACTTCCATAAAATGTATTTTATGAACACATTCTAATGGTTCAACATTTTTTTTCATCACTTACTTATTATACTATATTCCTTTATTTAAATAATTACAACAGATATGAACATAATTAGATTTATATCTAAAAATTCGTGCCAAATAAAATTCTTTATTATATGTGATTTTTCAAACATGTTTATATATAATTTATAGAGAGGTCTGTCAATGCTAGTGATGGTAAAAATAGTAAAATCAAGGGCCCAGCTCACGGAGACGAACTGGCGTATCTGTTTGAACCACTTGACGAAGAAGGAAACCCAATTAATGAAGTGGTCTCCTCAACGGATGCTCGCGTTAGAGAGTCTTTTATTGAGCTTTTCGCCAAATTCGCTCATAGAACTGCTTCAGACAAGAAAAGCAACAGCACTAGGCCAAAAATATTTGACTTCCTGCCATTCTCATCGGATAAGGAACAATATTTAAAAATATCAGACACAGTAACAACCGAGAAAGATTTTAGGTAAACATTTTTTACATACTCTTGCCCGTTTGTTTCTCAAAAAAATATCTTAATATTATCGTCAAGCATGCGACCAACAAAATAATAAATTTTCATGAATCAATTGATCTGTTTCAGATTCTGTCAAATGGGTTTGTGGGGAGGTATGGCGGAACGTGTGACAGGAAGTTTGTGCAAAAACATTTTGGGTCAGATCCTTAACCTTCCTAAGTTACCTTTCGTCGGAGGGAAGCAAATCGTTGATCCTCTAGCAGGAAAATATCCAAATATTAACCCGGACCTTAGCTCAGTTTTGAACATTCCTAACAACGCGGGAACGAATAATCCTTTAGGCTTACCATTAATTTCAAAGAAGCCCCCCAGTACTGTAAAACCTATGTGGAATAGCCCTTTTGGTAATCCTTTCGGAATATAAAAAGAGTAATATTATATTTTATGTTAAATGATTTCAAAATAAATATTTGTCGATTCATTTGCTATATTAATTTGATCTAACGATTCCTAAATATATTTTCTCACGTTACAGATAAAATTAATACTGGTTATATAAATTTTTAATTATACTGTTAGATTACAAATAACCTATATAATTTTCCCCATATATGTATCTATAATTGACAAAATGACGACTAATTAAATTATATTATAAATTAAGTATTTCCTTAAAGTGCAAGACTTATATTTTAAACATTTATTGTAATTTAAAATTAAATAAGGAGGCGATTTTATTTTTAAATTTTCATTATTCATGACAAAACCTTAAAGTAATCGAAACGTAGAACCCAAAAACATTGTTTTTTCATAAACGTGAACACGTGGAAATCTTGGATATGCAATTGTTTTTTAATAATATTAAATATTGTCACCGCCGTCTTAAACTAAGCTGGGGCCCTTGGGCATATTAGAATTAAAGGCCCTTTTGGAAAGTAAAAAACGCTAATTACACTAACATTTTAAAAATAAGTTTAATCATTTATTGATGTTATAAATACGTCATTAATGATATACGAATGCTGCTGTTTTTTGGTTCTGATTACGATAATGGTTTCTTTCGGGATTTCTGTTGAGCAAAATCTTCTATTATATCATTAAAGTCAATGTTTTGAAGGGTATCACTTTCAATGCACATAATTGACAAATTACTTAGTCGTTCTTGTAACATTGTTGTTCGCAATTCATTTTTTATTCTCTTAAGCTGCGAAAATGACCGCTCTCCACTGCCATTAGTAACCATCAAGCAAAGGAATATTCTTGTAGCAATTTCTACGTTTGGAAAAGTTTCTTCCAATTTATCTGCTTTTATTAAGTTATGTAAGGTTGAGATATTTAAATCCGCCGATCGCTTTGCTATGTTTTTTAAATATTGACTTAAATGAAAACCTTCTGTTTTAAACTCATCTGCATTTATGTCTTCATGATAAAATTTTGCAAATTCTTTGCATTTTTTGGTCAACTCATCAAATTCTATTATTGTTAACTGACAAAGAAAACCAAATCGACTATCAATTTCTTGGTATGCTGCAGAACGTTTTTTTAAATGAGTAATTAATGTGTCAATTATGGGAATGAAAGTATCTACACGAAACTTTTCTTTGCCTCTCAACTGTGCCGTCTTTGATGATCCTTCAAAAAAAGTGATGCGTGTGCTGCGAAATCTTTTTCTTTCAAATGTGTCTTTGTAGTCAGCATATGGATTTTTTTCTTTAGCAGCCGTTTCGTACTGATCAAAATTATCGCGTGCGGTATTGGCATAACTGATCAGAGACTCGTAAAGTTTCGTTACAACGTCCATGGTCATAGTGCTATTCTGTAAACTTAGACTTGTTTTATTCATAACTAGCTTTTGCCGCGACTCCGTCCGCGTGGAATAGTGACTTCCGGCAGATTTTTGGTTCTTCCCACATAATTCCCATTCTTGAGGGGTTTTCGGAATGGTCGAGTTCCCGTAGAATTTTCAGGATAAAACCTATGTTTTTTTTTAATTCACAATGAAGTACTCTTAACCAACAACATATTTATTTGTTTATTTGAATAAAGATTAATATTATTATGTTGATACACCTTAAACAAATTATTTCGACCAAATTAGGTACCATAAAAACGGTTTTTGTGAGTTAATCTTAAAAGATAGACATATACTGTCGCGGACTGTTTTTAGATAATTTCAAAAGAGCTATTATTCTTTCATACATATTTTTTGTGTATCTTGAACCGTTTTCACGGCGCACGCAACGGAAGGCTTCAAAGATGAAATAATTTCTCCTGTTTTTTTCACATTTACCACTATATCTTTGCTCCTATTGGTCGTAGCGTGCTGTTATATAGCTGTGAGCCTTCCTCGATAACTGGACTATCCAACACAAAAAGAATTATTCAATTCGAACCAGTAGTTTCGGAGATTAGCGCTTTCAAACAAACAAACAAACAAACTCTTCAGCTTTATAATATTAGTATAGATTTGTACAGTAGGAATAGCCGCAGTCATCGATATAATAGCGTAGTATATGCCCACAGTATCTGTGTATATGCCACGTAAATAGCCTCTTATAAGGTTACTAATTTGCGAAAAAAAGTAATGTGTCCGACAAAAATGTTTTGAGAATAAATGTGTGAGAGAAATTGTAGGTCCTTCGGGGCCCCCCTGAGAATAGAGGCCCTGGGCACGGGCCCCGTGTGCCCTTATGGTAAAGACGGTATTGAATATTGTATACGTATGAGTTAACTTCGATAGCTACAGACGGAAGGCCGAAAAACCAGAAATTGCTATAACTTATAAACTAATTTTAACTAAAATAAATCTTATAATTTTGTTTTAATAATACATACTTGCTTAATCCATATAAGCTTGTATTCTGTATGATTAATTATCAATTAATCAACTTAAACTTAATACTCATTGATGTAATGTACCTATGATGTAATATCTACTATTTTTGTAACTTATGAAATAAATATATTTTTAATGTACGTAAAACTTACGCACTCTTGACCAGGGAGTAAGCTGGTGAATGCGATACGAAAGAGTCACCAAAAGTGTGATCCACTTAATGTTAGTTTCATTATTTCAAAATGAAATTACATCCCGATATTTGTATGTTTATTTGCATTATTTAGAACATGTGTCTAGGATACTAAATCATATTATTTCATGGTTTTTGTACAATTTAAATATACTTATAACTATAACAAAATGCTATAGTCCATTTGATTTGGTATTGAGACTTGCCTATTTCATTAAGTAAATGGTTTCTACACAACCTTCTTATAAGACTTAAGTAGGTACTGGAAGTTTATACATTTCATTAAATAGTTTCTACACATCCTTCTTATAGGACTTAAATAGGCATTAAAAGTTTATCTTTTTATTTAAACTGCACTGACTCCGAGTGTATTATACGTTAAACAAATATCTATATTTTTTATAATCTGATGACTAGATAACAATTCCAATCAATAAATAGTCGAGTCATTAATTTCATGTAAAATTAATTTTGTCACACTCTATCCTTAGTTACACACTAATTTAATTAATTAAAATTGGATAACAATATTTTCGAGTAACGTTTACCATTATATTTTAAAGATACAAAAACGTTTTACGTTTAAAGGAGGACAAGAGCATGAATAACAATTTCAGTAATTTATAAAAATAACTGGATAATTTAATGATACAAAATCTTTAACGTCCTGTGTCTCAAATTCAAGTGGTGTCAAGCTTATCACGAAAAATACCGCCATAATGTAGCAATGCGGGAGTGACAACAACAATGCAATATAATGTGTGACGCCCTCTCAAATGCATCAGTTGCTTGCTGAACCAGTTACACGCACACAAACAAGATGGCGCGCATTACTTTGTTGTTGTTTTGTTTTGTTCTGGTTTCCTACTCGAGTGGATATTTGATAAGAGGAAGAAGTTTCGATGACATCAATACGAAGGAGATTCAACTGGTTAAAGAAGACGGTAATTTAATAGACGGTGATATAGATGATCGGTCTCCACCGGTGGTTGATGTCTACGGTAAGAAGAAATGTGCTGCCGTTGGAGAATTCGTAAGTATTAGATAGTATGTTCACTTCAAGCATTACATTAAAAATCAGTCTTATAATATCTTATCATATCTTTTATCGCGTAGTGATACAAAAGTGAATATGCATTGATTTGTTTTACTCTGCTTGATTTTTGCTGACTCATGTTTTTATTTTCAGTGCAACAATGACAGCGACTGCTGTTCTAATTCCTGCTTAGGCTTTATGAAGAGATGTGTCTCGTAAAATGAAACAATACGTGTATTAATACTTAATAAATATTTTAATACTCATTTATTTTTTATTTGACGAGCCTGAAAGATCGGATGATTTAAATGGGTCAGGTCTGGTGGGTTGGCTATAGAATATTTTATTTCCTTCATAGCATCTTCAGATATCTTCCATAATTTGGGATAGTTTTGTTTAAAATTGTTATACCAGGTGTGTATCTGTAAAATTTTATGATATAAAACTTTTCGATGAAGTATGTTCAACTAAAAACCACTTCAACAAAGCTACATACCTTTTTGTATTTACTAAAGTTAAAGTCTATTGCTTCAAGGGTCATTGTAGAATTGAACAACTGTAAGTCCGCTATAGTGAGCTTCTCTGAGGCTGCGTGACTTGTTCCCAGTCTCTCTAAATATGTTTCAAACACATCTAGCGCCATGTTTACCTTCTTAAGACCGAACTCTGTTCGTTCGTAGTCGAAGAATATTGGTGTCATCTGGTGATTATAACTACTTATATATTATTTTATATAAAATAACTAATACATATTTTACTCTTGTTTTTCTTTTAATTGTAGCTATATTTCATACGAATCCTAAACCTTTTAATTAAGTTATTTGTGTACATTTACTTGACAAAGACTACACTTTTTGTTTTAGGAAACACATTTTCGTCTTTATCGTTTAGAGAAACTTTTTACATGTTTTCTAAAATATTACATACCGTGTATGAAGATATATCAGGATAATACGTAGATAGATTGAAACAGAGTCGATGATTCACGAGGGCTCTGGAAAAAAATATTTGATATCTTTATCCTGCTCTCAATTTCGCAACCATTTATCCTGTTTAAGATATAAAATAATTTAATACTATTATTGACGATCACCAGTTTTAAATACGTTTTTGCATAGTCAACTTAATAACCCAACTCACCTTGATTTTGGATCCCGAGGATACATGTATGAATCTGGTTTGTATTTGTCGCAGATGTACTGTAATATAGCGTTACTTTCTCCGAGATAAAATCCATCGTCTTCTAACACGGGGATCTCTTTTTGGGGGTTCATCTAAAGGTTTAAAAATAAAGAATGGTATTGTTATGGTGTTGTTAATATTTGAAATGTTTGTATTATAAAAAATATATAAGAGCTC